AATTATTCTCCCCATTTTCATTTTGTAAATTTAGGCTCGTATTTAGTGATGTTAAATGGCCCGATTTGGGTCGATTTTTTAAAAAACAGTCCAATAAAGATTTTTAGCCAAAATATGATTATGAAAGGCTCGAGATTTGACAAATTGCTATTCTATGAAGCGAAAATCTCGAAGTTTGCTTAATGTTATATATACTAAAATCTTTCGAATAAATGGGAATCCTTAAAAAAAAGACTCTAAATTAATTTATAGTGATTTTTTAAAAACTTATATTAACATATAACCGAAGACCTGCAGAGGTATTGTTCGCGCGGCCCAGCCCGGATTATTTTTCAATAATTTTTTCGGTCCGGATTTTCAAAAGAAAATTTTTAGGCTATGTCCGGTCCGGCTAAGGTATATTTTTTTAAAAAAATTTAAGTTTCAGGCGTGGCCCGACACGGGTATATTTAAACGCGGCTCGGGCGGGCCTGCAGGTTTCTGACATATACTATTGATATTTCAGGTTAGAAAAAAAGGGTGAATTATTTGCGGAGTCAGAAATTTAAATAAGTATAAATCTAATCAGTAACCTGATTGAACATCCTGTGCATGGGATGGACTTAGACTATTTTGATCCCATATTATAACGTTGATGCTAAAGAAGAAACTTGGATCTCCAATCGATAAAAAGACAGCAAATTTAATGATATTTCATAACTGTGCTAATATTATATTTTTTTTCTTCTACCAATAATTGTGATTTAATATTATCTATTAACATATTATATTTTAAAAAAAGGAACAATGGTAATAATTTTTAATTTGTTGGAATACCACCCAAAAATAGTGAATTCTTAGTTTTTGCTTGCTGAGAATCTTTAAGAATTATTAGTTATGAGCTTAGTTTTATTAATTTGGAATTGAAATTAAATATTTACCCACTAACAGAATTAGGTCTGTCTTGGAGCTTCGTTAATTGTTAAACATGACCATTTAAAGATATCATAAGCGAAGAATCAATTTGAGATTAAAATATTTTGTTTTCATATCTGGAAAATAACTTATTGTAATTTTCCTAAATGTTTATATATTATATATAAAATAATATTTTAACAAATTTTTTATGCCGCTTATTAAAATTATATAATAATTAAGTTCTACAGTGGCAAAATTTTTTTAATTCGTGAATTTTCATGCAATGTGAATGGGTCTCGTAATAATCCAACGAATATATCTCCGCGTCTTCGAAAATTCTGGAAGCGTTTTGCTTGTCGAAAACTAACGTCGTTTCAAATACGGCTTCGTTGGCGAATACCTTAAATATCAGTATGAACCCTTTTAACAAACCGAAGATTTTGGACAGTAGAACTTTATTGATTCTCACATTTTCTGTCTTAGCAATATTCGTGTTTATATTTAACGTGGACAACATTTGAAAATCTTGGATATGTGTTTCGTCGTTCCCTACCAAAATGGTCATCATTATAGTATGCAGTTTCAATTCATCTATCAAACAAATCCGACTGTAATTTGATAAAATATTTTCTTTGATCTTCTTAAGTATTAAATCGACGCCATATACGATGAGGGTAGATAGGCCTTTGGCTAGTTGATCTTCTTCTTTGGAAGCTTTTTCCAACATTGGCGGAGGAGCCACTTTTATCCAATTGCACGGACAGTAGCGAGTGGGTATATTCACGGATTCACAAGTACGGTTCCTTGGTATGAGTCGCAGCAAACTTATGCCCTTGTCGCTACTCGAATCGCTCGAGTATAATGTGTAATATTCTCCAGGATCATCTGTTACGGCCGAAGAACCTCGTTCGTTGTTCGTAATCTCAAGCAAATCGAGCAATGTTTTATGGAAATCGAAAGGGGTTATTAAACTCCGAGTGTTGGCTTCGAATATGGTTTCGTCCTGATTGTATTCGGTGAAGAAGTCATCTGGAGGGATTGCTAGAAGGAAAGGCATGCGATCTTCCATCATTCCTGTCAACGATATTTATAAATGGAATAGCAAAAAGAGTGTAAAGCAGATAAAGATCTGAGGCAACGAGGCTTAATAAAAAAAAATACCGAAAAAATATTCAATGAAAAAAACTGAGAAGAATAGCCCAAAGTTATAGATCTGTTTGAGATCTAATAATCAAACACCACAATTAGATACGAACTGTTAATGATATAAGAAGACCATGGGTTTGATTGCACGAAAATTTAAGGTCAGCAGCAACTTCATTTTGCAATTAATAAACTGATAAATTGTCCTCTTAAGCCAAATATTTTTTTTCCTTCCCATTATAAAATTTTGCAACCTATAGCGGACCATAAGCTTAAGAAGCCCCTGATGTTTTGACATCTACATACCTTGGGTTATGGGAAATCTAATTTGGACTCCCACATGCGGTTCAGCAGTCCCTGATAAATATTAAAACTATGGATACCCAGTGAATCATTCCCCGGGGGCAAAAAATTAAGATTTTTTAAAAATTAAACTATAAATGTTTTATCTTTAAGCGATCCAATTTAACTATTCTTTATTGATTTCAAATGTAGTAATTATTATTTTTTAAGAGAATGAAAGAGATTATTATATAATTAAGTGGGGAATGTATATTTTATAAATTTTCTTCGGGCAAATTGTTTGCCATTGTCAAATAAAAAAAGAATGATGATAATATGAAAATAGGAGGTGAATAAATATCGCATATACCTCGTTCTTGCAGCCACCAGTTAGTGAATTAATTGTTAATTAAGAAAAAAAAAGCAATTTTAATAAAATGCGCTTTTTTGGAATTGGCAAAGTTTGATAACACTAATTCCTAAAATGCGGCTATAAAAATTAGTGTCCTAAATTTCAGGGAGCATGAGTTATTTTTAAAACATAGTTTTTATATTTGACAAATGGAAAACGATTCGCTTGAAGAATAAATATTTTATAATGTTAAATATCGTTTCCCATTAATTAGTGTTGTTAAATCTTTTGAGGTAACTTCAACATATAATTGAGTGTTAGAGTTTTGAAAAGATAATCTTAACCTGTAACTGGTTACATTTTAGGGAATTTAAAACTGAAAAACATATGATTTTCTTTTTTTTATATAAATGTGGGACCATTATAGTGCGCACAAATTGAGCGTTTAAGTCTTGCCGTAATTTTTAAATAAAAAAAAAACGTAATAGTGCGCACAAAATGAGCGTTTCAAACGCTGCGTTTCAAGCGCAAATAATGCATTTCAAATGACCTCGTGCAAATTGGTAAAATTAGAGTTTGGCGTTAGCAACCATTTTAAAAAACGCAAATAGGTTTGCTTTTTCATTACTTTTTATTATTATTCGCTGTGTAATATTATATAAAATGTAGTATAAATATCTTACTTATATCCTAGAAAGGAATATTTAGAAATTAGAGAAATAAAAACGCAGACGATAATATAATTTTCAAAAGACAAATCCTTTTTTTAAAGAACTTATTTAAAATGTTGCGTTTGCAACGCAGCGTTTGAAACGCTCAATTTGTGCGCACTATAACGCGTCCCTTGTTTAAAATTGAGGTTGCCTTTTTTTTATAAATATCCGTCGATTCAAAATTTAAAATAAGTTCTAAAAAAAATAGGATTTGTCTTTGGAAATTATATTATCGTCTGCGTTTTCATTTATTTAATTTCTAAATATTCCTTTTTAGGATATAAGTAAGTTATTGATATTACATTTTTATATAATATTACAAAACGAAGAATAAATAAAGTATTGAAAAAGAAAATTTGTTTGCAATTTTTTTTAAAATAGTTGTCAACGCCAAACGGTAATTTTACCAATTTGCATGAGGCCATTTGAAAGGCATTATTGGCGCTTGCAACGCAGCGTTTGAAACGCTCAATTTGTTGCCGTTATTATTTAAGTTTAAAGTTTTAAAATCAGCTGAGAAAAAAACTTGTTCTACGAAACACTACGACAATACGCAATAAATGATATTATTATTTTTTTCCTTAAAGCTTGCCTTTTGTTTTTAATGCATTAAAAATAAGACATATTATTAACATCATATTTAGAAAAAAAATTAAGGTATAACTATAATATAACTATTAGATTTGAAGTCACCGTAACAATTACATTTCACGCAAGTCTTAAGATTTTGCTCATATGACATAAAGTTTTGGAAATCTATTAGTGAAATCTCTAGGCTTAGACAATATTCTTCTGGCTAAAATATTGAGTTAGCCGTTTTTAAAAATCTGCTCAAATCGAGCCGCTTGACCACCCTTATTATGATATGTTAGGTTTTGGGCAGGATAACCTTTGAATATAACTTGTTACTTTTTGGTTAAGTTTTTTTTTTGTTTTGAATGATTTTAATTTACTTCCTCAAATATAAACTCATTTCCCCATAATATTTAAGTTCCCTGATTGCCTAAGATTATACAACCCCAATCTTCATTTTCTTGATCTTCCTAAATTTGATCTCCATGATGAGCTGACTCATTGTAAATTAGTGCGGTTTTTTATAAACTTTATTCCCCATTATTTAGACCTAACAATTCTTTAATGCTGTAGTGGCTAAAATAATAAATAATTTTAATAAATTCTTTATTAATTTGTAAGATTTCTATTCTACTCTATAGATCCTAATAATTTTTTTTTTACTCTTCGAGTTTCCAATGCTCCAACATAGGAACACGAATAATAGAATAGATTATTTAAATAATAATAAATAACGGAAACAAAATAATGTGTAAACAAGAAAAAAATATATAAAAATTTTACTAATTTTAGCTACTCAGATGGTTCAAAAATTTTAAACTAAAATACTAAATAGGAAATGCCACGTATCAAAGAAAAGGGGGATAATTTAGCCATCCGCAAGGTCGGTTTGATCTACCCCCCTGCTTGAGTTCCAAATTTAGGTAAGCCTAATTTTTTTAAAAATTTCAGGTCGGGCCTAATAATATTTAAGGCCCGATGGTAGATCCATAATCGAAACATTGGACAGCAACAAGAAATTTTTTAAAAAATGTGTAAATTCATGTTATGAAAATTACGAAACCATTTAAATTATGTCTAAATGACCCGTATCTTAACCCGTGATCACCGAATAAGAAGATAAAAGTATTCTTTAAGCGATGACTCTCTATAAGTTCGTTAAAATAATTATACAAAAGTCCATCTACGTCATCTAGTCCCTGTAGTTGCGAGTGGGTGTATCTAGTTAAAAAGTTAAAATTAAAATATGGTTGATCTGATTCTTCCAGTTCCTGAATCAATCCTTTCGAATAATCCAGCAACATTTCTACCTCATTTTTGCCATACACACAACAATATTCTTCGGATGACAGTCGTCGCATAGTTTTTTCTAATTCCAGTGTAAACGGTCTGAAATAGAAATGAGAAGGGGATTTATAAAATCCGTATTTCTCAAAATTGTAAGTTGACCAATAGGGTTCGTCCTCTAAGTAAATGGTAGAATAACCATGTTTCTCGTATTGCCGCCATATCATGCTGATATTATCGAAATAGGTGTGCTCATCGCTAGGAATTTCCCGCGTAAATTTTCCGGTTAGGAGTGCGTTTAAATTCGGATACGTATTTTCTCCTATCTTAGCGTAGCCCTTGAATGTAAATACTTTTTTTCTTTTGCGTCTCAAGTATTCGTAGGTTTTGAGCAAACTTCTCTCAAAATTCTTATTCGATGTAGATTCTATCCCCATAAGTAATACGTTAAACTTGCGTACCGCTTCAATAACTTTATTGTTAGATCGTTGGGACATCACGTAACGAGACACTGATTCTCGGGGAACTGTGTGCACGTATTGATAAATTACCGACTTGTCACTATGGAAACATCTGACCCGTATGAATATATCGAAATTCTGATTGACATCATTTCGCTTTCGAAAAGAAGTCGAATTTAAATGAATAGTAGTGTCGTATTTAAACTTGACAGATTTTGTGAGAGTAATGCTGTCATCCGGATTGTCCGATTTTATGTCCCTCAATATTCGTTGGTATTTGCAATTTTTAAAATCGTCATCGCCACCATAATAAAGCCGTAAGGCGGTTAAATTTACCCTCATATTGAAAGAATAAACGTGTTCGTTTTCCGACTTTTCCTGCTTTCTACCCGAGTCAATGTATGTCAAAGGAACTGTCTTGCCGGGTACACATTCTAACCTCATATTCAGTTCTTCGGGTTCTGGATACTGTATATCAGAAGAATTTAATTTTAATATTTTGCAATGAGGTAGAACTAGTTCGTAATCCGTAAATTCTTTCGTCATTGAATGTCGAGTCGCAATATTAGACGAATTCGAATTCGAGTGATCAGTTTTTGGATATGTCAGAATCGTCGATATTTCGCGTTTCAAATACGAAGCGTAATAATAGTTAATGAAATAACACGTAAATATTGTCACGATTATAAAAATCCATATTCTTTTGATAAGGTCAGTCATTTGGGTTTATCATATAAGGGCTTATATAATAATGCTCAATTACTAGGGTAGAAGAGTTATTTAAAAATAATTAATAAATCTATACATAAATATATATATATACATATTTAATTAACCCCCCACCCCTTACCTTACCCATATTGAATGAAATAATATTAAATTTAACAAATTATACCTATTTTTTTGTTTGTTTACATATTATTTGTTTATTGCGACGTATTTCAAATTTTCAAGTTGTTTCTCGGTAATTTTGTATACTTATAGTGATTCCTTATATAAAATTATAGTAATTTCTTATATGACTACGTGGAATATATGGTTCCAACTGGCAGAATTCAATACAATAATAGTTTTAAAAACGAAGGATTATTTTATTCAATTTAAAGTTATATCAAGAACCTTCATATAAAAATAATAATCATTTAAACAAGAACGTTATTTATTTATTTATCAAAAATACATAACACTCTCTATCATCAATCACCATATCCATCTCTCAAATAATCATGATTACAACATATAATAAGAAAAGAATAGTCTTAAAAATTAAGGATCTTAAGCCTTTGGTTTGTTGTTGTTTAAATGGTCCAATTTTTGATAACGGCCAGATCAGGATTTTAGCCAAATTAATATTTATGTAAGCATCGACCCTAACTTTTCTGCCTGTAGGGAATAGGGGGATCGTAAAGACCAGAATATTCGGTAGTTATTTTGACTCGGTGATTTTTTTTTTGGGTTCGTATGACAATAATTTATATTCGAAATAAGATAATAAATGTTAAATATAAATTGAACATATTATATCACAACACTGCACTGCCTATCTATAAGCAAAATATCCAGGCATGTATAATATTATTTTGGCTAAAATCTTAAGCGGACCATTTTAAAAATCACCCCAAAATCGGGTCTTTTAATTAAACTACCCTTTGGTAATAGTGTTTGTTAAAACGAACTCGATTTGGCCCATCTTAAATCAAAATTTTAGTCAAAACAATATTACGAAAGAGCATTAAGATTTCCATAATAGATGTCCAAACCTTCCTGCCCCTCATGAGCGAAAATCTCCAGGCTAGTACTTCTTTTTGGCTAAAAAATATTTGGATATGCCATTTTTAAGAAATCGAGCCGTTTAACAACACTAAGTCATCAGTAGGGTAAAACTAACCTTTCTCAAGAAGGTCTACACCCAGCTCACGTTCCCTATTAGTGGGTGAATAATCCAACGTTTGATAAATTCTGCTTAACAGTGATAGGAGGAACTGACATCGTAATTGGTCCTCTGAATTTCTGTGCCTCAGATGTAATTTTTTTTTTATAAACTTCTAAAATTTATTTCGGACACCATATAAATTGGATTTCAAATATTTATTTTTTTTAAAAAAAAAGTTATTCCTTACATCTTAAAACACCTCCCCTCCCCCACTCCCTTACAAAATTTTATATATTATCCTTTAAATAGGCATTCAGAGTTAGCACAAATCCGCGTCTTTTCTTTCTTTCTTTCTTTCTTTCTTTCTTTCTTTCTTTCTTTCTTTTTTCTTTCTTTCTTTCTTTCTTTCTTTCTTTCTTTCTTTCTTTCTTTCTTTCTTTCTTTCTTTCTTTCTTTCTTTCTTTCTTTCTTTCTTTCTTTCTTTCTTTCTTTCTTTCTATACTTAACCGCAGAATTCTCGTTAACCATGAACGCAGGGTATGTTGTGCCCTGGTTTCGTTCCTTTCTAAAAAGAAAAACTTATCTATGCTTAACCCGGGCTAAACATGGATAAGAATTTGTTATAATGGGTTGTTGATTAACCAAAATCATCATAAAGTTAATTGGCTTTCATCATTTGAAAATTCATGCCACGATCAAGCTCGATTAGATATCAGATTATTCTTCGGGTAATTTCTTACGTTTAATTGTTGTTAAAATTTTCGATAATTTTAATGGAAGGGGGGGGGGGGGTGAAATCTTTAAAAAATATTTTATTTGTTAGAAGATTATCTACTTAGATATAAAATCGATTATTAATTTGCCACCCTCAAGATACTTACGGAAATTTTTTTTATAATTGATCTGCATTTTTTTTTGGTTATGGAATGGATTGTTCCCTTAGCCACAGCCTCGCTGGCTCCCTGATATTTTTTGTACATTTATAAATATATTAGAAATCAGACTAAAGTTGGGTTATTTTAGCCAGAAAAATATTGCACAAGCCTTCGAGATTTTGCTAATTAAATGTCCCAAACCTTTGTGCCATCTATGACCAAAAATCTTCAGGCTTGCCTAATGTTTACCTGGCTGGAATATTGAGTTAGCCGTTTTTAAAAATAGGCTTAAATCGAGCTGTTTAACAACACTACTTGGGAGACATACATTTTATGAAATAAGTTATTATCTTAATCAATTATATGGGTTATATGAATTTTTCCTCCATAAATTTTTTAATATCAACTTTATTTATGTACATTAATTAATTTATCTTAAATCTAATATATTTATTCAATTTTTCAAAAAAAAATTACTTATTATATAAATTAATTTCTCAAAAACTTAATAAATTTTATGAAATCGATATCATCTTAACCTAATAATCATGTTAATTAATTAAAGGTTACTAATTGCTCCAAAAAAAACTTGTATTATTTTTTATAATGTTGATGATGTCATCTTTCAAATAAAAATATAATGTAATCCTATTGACCAATGAATGTATCAGTCTAACCCCTGGTGATCTTATTTTTACGCCATTCTTACCTTCAATAAAAAAGCGAATCAAATAATTTTTCAATTCGTATTCGTTTCTCATAAACAGGGATCAAGAACATTTTTGCGTTCCCGTTCTGTTTCCTGTTCCGGTCAAAAAATGTTCTTTTCTAGTTCCGTTCCAGCTTTAGAAAAAATGATGTCTAAATGTATATTTTTTAAATCTACACACTTTAATTAATCTTTATATATGATTCTCTGTTGTGTTAGAATAAATAAATTTTTTATATATTTAAGAACATTCCCAGGACTTTCTGGAAAGTTCCGGTCCATGTCCCTGCTTATAAAAGAATCCAATGATATCTTATCCGTACTCACGCGAATAATAAATTTACTATTCGATTTGTATTTGAATAATTCGCATTTTAATATTATTTAAAAAAAAAAAATATATATGTATATTAATTCATAGCGAAAATATATATTAGAAAAATTTTATATAGTTTAAAATTGGCACCAATAAAAATTGATTGACTAATGCGAGTGAATCAAGATATTTTTATAAAATCTTTAAAAATTCTCTTAATTTTTTACAGTTTTAAATGATATTATATAAAAGGTTTTAACAAGTTATCTTTAGTTAATATATTAAAATATATTAAGGATATCCTTTTACCTTGAGAATTCATTACTAAAAATATGTCATAATTTATTTTGTATATCAATTTATCCATAATAATTTATTCATCCAAAATCAACGCGATATTTCTTCAAAAAATAAAATCAATGGCGATCTTTTCCAATATAATATAATGGCAATCTTTTTTCCGTTGAAACAAAAAATGAATCCTTGTGTTGCCACCGTGTTTACTTCTTTTACCTAAAGTAAATAAAATACATGGTCAACGACAGGGTCAATTATCTATTTATAATTACATATATATACTTATTTATATTTTTGTCTTTCTTTTAATTAATTAAATATAACAATTTAAAAGTTGACAATTTGCAGGCCTTTAGAAGATATTATTTTTACTTTCAACTCTTTTACTTTCGGGTGTGAATGAATGGAACCTTCTTTTTTTTGTAATGATTAATAAGAAGTAATTCTATCTTTCTTTTTCCTTACATATTATAATATTTTTTTTCTATTATTATTGAATGGGATAAAGGGGAAGGTGGGGAGTCGTGTTGTTAAACGACTCAATTTGAGCCGATTTTTAAAAATGGCTAACTCAATATATTATCCAGAAAAATATTATGCAAGCCTAAAGATTTTGCTCATAGATGGCATATAGGATTGAACATCTATTGGCAAAATCTCGACGCTCAGACATTATTTTTCTGACTCTTATATTGAGTTAGTCGTTTTTAAAAATATGCTCAAATCGAACCGTTTAACAACACTAGTGGGGAGGGGGGGGGGTTATGATGTTTGCTTCTATTGAAACAAGAATGGATTTAAAGGTTTTACATTCTACAAGAAAATTTACTCTTTCATAATTAGCCTATGTTAATTTGTTTAAAAAAAAAATAAATATTAATTTTAGCACGAAGTTAATCGTAACCTAATTTATAAACTTCATTTTCGAAATTTTTTATCTCGCAATTCGCGCAATCAAAAAGAAGAGAGAAAATCTGATAATGTATAAATGAGGGAATCATTTCATTATTTCGAAAATATTTTTTTGACCTTGGAAAGAACCCTTAAATGTTGTGAATTCATAAAATAAAATAGGCGATAATCAGTTTACATTAGCCACTATTCTTGTTAAGAGATGTAAGGAATTAATAAAAACAATGTATAGGCCATTAAAGGGAATCCCGCCGAAGCCCTGCAAAGGGCATGGCGGGGTGGAACCCGATACAGTACCGCATCGTAGGCCGTCCGCTCCTGAATACGAATATAGTGAAGGAATAGCTATATTAATACATTATAAATATTTTAAATATATTTTTAAAAAAAAGTAATAACCGGAAGAGAAAAAAAAATAAATTTAAAAAAATATGCATGGTTACATAGTTAACACTTAAACAGGGATCCAAACCGAACCTGAACCGAACCGTAAAACCGCTAAAACCGGTATTTTTATCGAACCTGAACCGAACCTAAACCGCTAAAAAATTCTAGCTGAACCTGAACCGAACCGCTAAAATGCCTCTGAACCGGTTCAAGCCTCATGATTTTATTCTTATAAAATAATATGTAAGTTATTTTTAGTATATAAAAAAATTTCAATTATATTCGAATTATTTTAAAGATTAGCATCAATCACATTTGATTGGTCGGTCATAATTTTTATAAACTTTAGTATATTGTCCTTTTACAACATTTTTTAAATATTTTAAGCTTATAAATTATAATGCTTAGAGAAAAATTAAATCCAAAATATTATTATAAATGACACATCAAATCTGATATCATATTGACAGTGTCGGCTATCCAAGTTAGTGTGGAAAGATGTTTTTCAACAAATAAATTTATACTATCTTCTTATAGATGTAATTTGAGTGAGAAATATATTAATTGTCCGGCTTAATAAAAAAAATTTAAGTAAAAAAAAGTAAAATATTGTTTATATTAAAATTAATTATTGATTTTTATATTTATAAATTTATAATGTAAATTTATTAAAAATGAAGGTTTTATATATGTGTTTTTTAAATTAATGATAAAATAAAAAAATATATTTTCCCTATACATAATTCGAATGTGGGTTTGAATACAAAAGTGTTCAAACCGGTTTTTAGAGGTTCAAACCGAACCGAACCTGAACCTTGAACCATTATTTTTATCTGACTCTGAACCCAAACTCAACCGATATTCGTTTCGGTTTGGATCCCTGCACTTAAATATCTTTTAATGTAAGTTGGCTATAAGTATTTTATTTGGCAATAGCTATTTTTTTTTGGCAAAAAAAGATATAATATGATTTCCACGGACAAGTATTTCCTTAAAATGAAATGAAAGGATTAAAACAACTCGGCTTAAAAAAAATAATATGTAGGAAAGCAAAATAAGCCTGATTAACAACTATAAACATTTTCAAAAACTTCAGATAGTAATCCCCTGCCCATAGGCGTAGCCAGGGGGGGGGGCAGGAAATCCCCCCTTTAGAAATTTATAACTTTTTATGAATATCATTTTAAGCTAATAAAAAATATCCCCCTTAGTTCTCCCCCCACTCCCTGACCCTCAAAAATGTATGCAGATATATCTTAAACAATAATTTGAAAGAAAGAATGTAGTTGATATTTTCTTATAAAATTATTCATCATAATTTATACATTTTCGGAAAAACGCATTTATATATATAAAAAGTGAACCAAAATTTTTTTTTAAGAAATGGAATATAAGCCAAAGATAAGTCTTAAGACAATTAAGAGAAATGTATTATAATTATTAATAATACATCCATAAAATTACTAAATAATATAATATATCAAAAATAATTTTTTATAAAGTGATTAATTTTAATTTATTTATCTTAATAAAAGTAAAATATAATTATAAAACTATTGATAAAATTAAATCATAAATTAAATAAAAAAATTAAAGCACAATACAAACAGTAGAATATTATATGTCGATCAACTATTGCCTACTTACTTTTTATAAATAAATTTCTTATACTAGTTTTGTTTGGAATAAATTATTACCATGCTTTTATTAATGTATATACAAGTAATACTAATAAAAATATATTTCATATTTGTTCCAGGCTTATTTTTTTTTATTAAAATTAACCTCTTATCTTGTAAAAATATTTTATGACTATATATAGACAAAGGTAACCCGGCCAAAGGCTCGCCTAAATTGGGGTCTGGGGGCGAAGCCCCCGGTAATTTTGTAATCCCTCCCCCCCCCCCCCCCTTTAGGAAAATCTTGGCTACGCCTACTGTCCATAAAGATCATAATGTAGATAACAGTTTTGAAATAGTTGCAACGAAAGCCGTGGGGGTTGTCATAGCGATTATTATAATGGTTGTAACAACTATTGTAGCGATCGTCATAGTGGTTGTCATTATAATTGTCAACGCTATAGTCGTTTGTCGTCACGATTGTCGAAACGATCGTCATAACGGTTGCCGCAACGATTGTGGAAACTATCGTGTCAAGAGATTGTCATAAGCACTTGAGTTCTGTATAGGTTTTGGCCTCATTAGCTTTCCCAGGTGTTTTATCTCCTCTTACATTCGAGATGACCTCCCTAAATATATAGCTTCATTCGCTATGAGCTTGATATCATTTGACTCTATGGTCCTTCCTCTAGACCTAGGTTGTAGATTTCTTTACTCATTGTGTTCTTAATTCTTCTAATTCTTTTGGAATTGTGTCCACCATGACCTTCTTAATAATGTTGAATAGCACTGAATTTGCAATCTTTATTTAGTCTGCCAAACTGATCCATGACGTTTTCTTCCTCGGTGAGCTTGGAATTTTCTGTCTTGGTGTTGTAGTTAATATTTATCGAGAAGAGCGACGGGGTGGAAGAGGTTTGCCTGCTGAATTCATTTTCAGGTAAGCTTAGAAGAAACAGAGCAGCCTTTTCCCTTTTTAAAATCTTGGTGGTGTCGATTTGTTATTCTCCTATATAAGCGCTATGGTCGTAGCTGCTAAATTTTAGGTAAGTCAATTTTTACAAACTCGGTCGGGAAGAGGAGTTGTTCGTTGTGTCCATATCTGTTGATATGTTTTAAATCGTTAAAGAATTTTATTTGAATATAAGAATCAAGCGATTCTCTGAAAATTTGTAAAACACGGCATCTAGTTTTAATACGTTTGAGCCCGTATATGCTTCCACCTAAAAACGCTAATTCATTCCATAATAATATTAATATTTTTATTTGACTGACATACTCGAAAAATATAGTACTTTTTAACAGCTGATATTTAAATGATTTATAAAATTTTTCAATAACTATGTCTACAAGATTGAATATAATTAGATCCCCGAAATTTTTTGATAAGAAACTCAAGAATGCAATCGCAAAAACAGAATATTTTAAAGAAAATATTGAAAAAAATAGAGCCTTTAAAAGATCAAGTGTATTAGTCATATCTTGCAAGTATATAAATTAATATATATTTTATAATTTTCTATATAAAAATTAGTAAAAAATATATGAATCATTATTACAATCAAACATATTCTAAATATAAAGAAATGCCACTTGCCTCTATTGGGTGGGGAAATACAAAATCAAAAGGAGATGTATTTACAATTAATTGTTATGAAAAGGTAAATTGAAATCATTTGATACATATGTAATGTATATTTAGAATCCAGCATATATGACAAAAGATAATACTGAAAAACTGGTCAACTATGATTTTGAAAAAGCAGGTGAGCTTTTTGATGATAATGGTCATTTATTGTCTAAAGTTGATGATAAAGCTCAGCAGATACAAACAAATTTAAATAGTAATAATTTTGACCTACTTCATTCAAAGATTAAACAAATTCTGACTTCTTTAAACATCAAAATACCAACGAAAATTCAAGTTTATAAATTTTATTATATATATTCATTTTTTTATATAGTCATCATCAATTCCATTGCTAATAGAAGATAAAAATATTCTCATGACTGCAGAAACTGGTTTTTAAATAGGAAATATTCATAAATTTTTTTTATAAATAATATTTAGGTAGTGGAAAAACTTTTGCATATCTTTTACCTACTTTAAATAAAATTATCAATGATCATATTAAATGGGAACAAAAGTGTTTATCAAACTTAAAAAATTTAGAAATAAATAAAGAATTTAATTTCATTTTACCCATGACAATTATCTTGTTGCCCTCAAAGGAATTATGTGCACAAATAACCGTATTTAACATTTTATATATAATTATAAAATAAATTACACTATCATTAAATTTGTACCATTTAAATATGGTAGAACCCAGTGTGAAAATGACAGTATTTTAATTTAAACAGCTAAAGAGCATTAAGAAAAGATAACAATGTTAAATAAGAAGTCTAAAATATCTACTGATGTCTCCCATGTTATGAGACCAAATCTAATTTTTTTTGAGAGATTGTTTTTTTTTACTGCAAGCATCATTATCATTTGTTTTATAAATTTATTTAAAATATATATTAACAGAATGTTGCGGAAAGATTTGCCAATCCACTTGGCTTAAGAATAATAAAATTTGCCAGTGGCTCCTTATATGACAATATTAACCTTTTAAATTCATCAGATGCTGAAAAGTATATATCTCAAATTCAATTACTACTATAAAATGTGGGCCGGGATATGTTGTAAAATAAAATTGATTTATATTTTAAAATTATTTTGCGAGAATTGAGATGCCAATAATTTTCGTGGAATATTTGTTATTTAGGATTTAAAAAAAAAATTAAATTTTTCTATCTTCAAAAATTCGGACAGGACCCGGCGTATAAATAATTTACATTTCCGGTTTTTTGGGACAAATTAAAAATAAATTCGTTTGAAATCGGGTCGAGTTGATGAAAAAGTTAAGCTCGTTTGTCGATCACAAATATAAATCATTATAAAAATTTCTAAACCCCATCTTTTATGATTTTTATATTTCTTAGTAACCATAATAAATATGCATACTATTAATAAACTATGTTTTTTTTTATAAAATATCTAGTGGGGGGGGGAGGTAAAACTTTTGTTGATCTCCAGGGTGCTGCTAGACCCCCAATGACATATAATAATACCTAGACTGACGATGCATTGATAATAATACATTTGAAAACGTCGTTGAATGTAAATCACACGCCATTTTGGTAACCCATATAGTAATTATTCTCATGTTAAGAACTACCTCCTTTAAATTGATAACTTGCTACCTTATTAACTCGATTATCAGGCAATTCTTTAATAAAGTTTGCATCAGACATAGGAATAAATTATCATATCGTTAAAAGTTTTCAACAATGATATGTGTAACCAAAATGGCGTCCCCAGCTGTTTTCATTGATATATATATTTTTAATGAATGCATCGTCTGTATAGGTATTATTATATGTCATTGTAGACCCCACGATACATCTCGGTTAATGATGCTTACTACCAAGTGAATGTATGGAAATATTTTAAATACCAATCTAATTTGCTAAATACCGACCAAAATTTATTAAAATGTAATAAGACCCTTATTATTTAATATATTAATACGGAATCACGTGGTCGAGTCCGGCCTCCTATATATTATCCCCCAAGGATGGAACCACCAAGTTAGAATAAGAAAAAAAACATGATCATTCCCGGGATTCGAACTAGGGACCATGGGATAAGTAAACCAAGCTCTTGCCTACTAGGCCATAGAGGCTTTCCAAAAATCACGATTTTTCAAATATATATTATAAATATATTTGGTAGTGCCTATCCAAATGAAAAATGAACAAAATTCAAATTTGATAGATGTACCTTATCATTAACCATACATCTCGACTCTCAAAGGCTTAACTCAAAAATGTTTTTGTTACATATTAATCGTTAACACAAAAAAGATATCGTCGGAATCTAGTCCACCTCCTTGTCACCACTCCAGAGCTTTTGCTAAAGGTAAGCGATCCCAAAAAGTTCTACAATATATGTCGTCCTAAACAAAGTTCGCACTCCTCCTCGAAATTCGTTCCTACCGAGTCCCAATCCTCAATATCGGATCATTCCGGGACAACGGGACACGGCGAAATGGAGTCGAGGAACGAAAAAATGATCGCACCGAAAGTCGCTCGCATAAACGCGTTTTACTTTGACAGGGATAGTGCCACGACGATCATCTTCGACGAGGCCGACACCTTATTCGACGATTCCTTTGAACCCATGACCCAGAACTTCATATCTCGGAGATCTGACGCACCCGGTTTGTCAACAATAATATTTTCTTCTCACCACTTTATCAAGACTAACATCGAGTGTTTTAAAGAAACAGCTGATTTATAATAGGATTCGAATATTTATGCTGCCCTCGCCCCACTCCCATCCATGTTTTGTATAAAAAATTTTAAAAAAAGTAAAAGAATTCTTTAGAAAAACTGAACCTTGATATTACTCATCCTCGAGAAAAATGAAATTCGCCTATGCTCGTATTTGACAGTTTGCACAAATTGTGGCGATTTATTAAGATAAATATCTGAAGGAATGAAAACAACGGCTTTTTTTTACTTTAAATCATATTATTCTGAGCCCCTCTTAATTTTAATAAATGTAATATAGCGGAAACTGTATTATTAGCTTGCGAATTGTTAAAAACCGACTCAGGTCGATTTTTAAAAAACGGCCCAAAAACAACCGTTGTATAAGCCTAAAGATTTTGCTCATACCTTGGCAGAAATGCTTGGAACATCTATTTCCCAAATCTCGATGCTTACTTAATATTATTTAGGGGGAGGCGGGGGGGGGGGAAGGAGAAATAGCGATCGCCATTTAATTTGCGAAAAATACGCGACTTCCTTTTTTATACATTTTGATATGTTACGTGTTTTTTTATTTAGGTCACTCGCCTCAATTGATATTCGTAGGAGCGACTAAACCTATGGGTCTCAACGATATATTGACCGATTTCGAGCTAAAGGTTAAAAATTACTCTCAAATTTATTCCTCTTTCAGATATAAATCCTTTCAAATTCTAAGGAATAGGAAATTATTGACACTTTTATTTTCGATCATTTTTGAACCCAAAATAAATATTAAAAAAAAATACCCTTTTCACGGAGATACACGAGGAACGATTACTATTGGTATGATCCCGATACTTAAAATCTTAGCCGATACGGTCGTTATTCTAAAATGGTAACTAACCTTAAAAAAGTGTTTTACTTTTTTTTTTACTCAACACTATGTTATTAATTTATATTTAAAAAGAAGGGAAAAAAATATCATATAAAAAATTTATAAACCAATAAAAAAAATTAAAGTAAATCGTATTTATAAGTTAATTTTTATAAGATTTATTAATTTATTATAAAATGATAGAAAAGATAAATGAAAATATATCTTTGCTATTTTTTTCTTCGAATGAATGTAATTTATTATTTTTTTGATATCGGTATCGGCTAAAAAGGGTGATATCGTCCCGTCTCCGCTTTTAGGTCCTGTCCGCTATACCGTAAACTTATTGACTCATAATGATAGATCGGTAAATCCCCATACAGAAAAAAAAATGAAGAAATTTTTAGAGCTACCGATCTTTTACCGAACGTAATTAAAGTGCGTGAGATGGGAGGGGGGGGGGAGAGAATTGATTCTAAAATTATATTAAACTTAATAATTATAAATTGACTTACTCACTGTATCGCATGAATTTTTGGGTCCAATCATAATAAAATCCGTTCCTTTTTATTAATCCATTTTTTTTCAAATCTAATAAAAAATTTTAAGCTCAGAAATCAGCACCCGGGTTTTAAAACCCGGCCCGTAAGTAGGTTATCGCAAGTTTCTTGGCCGAGTTCATTTAAATCGTGAAAAATTTTCCAGAAATTTCCATTTATCTAAGTTTTAATTTTTGTTAAAAAAACGTAGTTCTAAGATTGATCGGAAAAATATTTTGCAGAAATATTTGGGGGATGGGGAGATTCGAAAGGGACGTATCTCTATTATTAAAATAAAAACACGATTGTGTAAATTGAACTAAGCCAATTTTAATATCGGCGAAAAAATGGACATAGAACTAGTGTTGTTAATTTGCTTGGTCGCAAAATTTACGACCCTTTTATGTGCTCAGGTCGACCCGGGGTTCAGACCTGGGGTCCAGACCCACCTATGGATTACACCTGGGGCTCGGATAAATGAAAAGTAAGAAGAAAAAAATAAATCTCATTTAAGCTTTAATCTCATTTTCTTACCATTTAAATATTTGCTTAAATTTGGGGTCTTTTGATTAAAATGTTTTCCGACCCGAACCCAAATTTTTTTAAAAAAAAAATTTTTACCGGCATGGCCAGAATCTATTTAAAATATATAGTTAATTTTTATTTTACATTCTTTTTAAACTACGTATATTTATTTTTATAAACTAATCCCCCACATAATCTCCGATTACAGTGAAGTGAAACGTAATATTATTATTATTATTTTTAAATATACAATATAAGGTGGTAAAAATAAAAAAGTAAAATTTTATTTTAGTAATACATATTGTAATTAAATATAGACAAAAAAAAATAAAGATTAAACGTCATGCATGTATAAATAATAAAAATGAATTTTGTTGTAGAATTTATAATTTGTGATGAAAAATGGCAAAGTCTCAGTTGTTTATTAAACACAATTATACTTGCTTTTTAGGTAAATTTTTATAATTTTAAGCTCTTTTTAGAGCCTTCGATACTATTAATATATTTTTATTTAGCAATTTTATATATTTTTACATATTTTTATAAAGTTGTTATAATATTTTAGTGTTTTATCATTTTTTTTTTAAATTGTACCAATATCAGTATTATGAAATTAAAATTTAAAAAATTTGTTATTTAACTTAGAAAATTTTTTCTTAAGAAAATAATAATTTTAAAAATAAAAAGTTTTCTTTATATTTGAAGTTACGTTTATTATATAATTATTTATTTTTTTTATAAAAAGTGTAAAATTTTATATATCGTCGGTCTAGAATTGGAGTGTCCACTCCACTCGACATTTTCAAAATTTTTGAGTTAGAATAGAAGTGGATAAATAACTTAGTTATTCCCAATATATATATGTCGTAATTTTTTAAAGGGATCTGAACTATCCGGGATCTTCACGGGTTTTAAAGGTATAACTAAAAAAATTAGGATTTTAAGTTAAGGAATGATAATACGGTATTATCGCGTTTTAATCGTGATAAAGAGGAATCTTATTTTTAAAAGCGTTTTTTTTTATTTCTTTTTAATTTTATTGTTGTTTATTAATTTTCAATGTTGTTTTTTTTTGACTTTATGAAATAAGGTATGTCTAATATAGGGTATCAATCGATAGCTAATCAAAAGATCTATTCAACTAAAAGTCAATCTCTCCCCCTTAATAGGCGAGTCTAGGTCTGAGGGAGTGGGGGGTCAGGAATATTTTTTATCAAAAATGACAATATGAAGATGATTGACTTATTTTTAGTAATTATATGACAGATTTAAGTGACGACAAGTATTTCTAGGTGATATATGTGATATAGATGGACCCTAATAAATTTAACATATTTGACAATTTATTTTTATTTATTTACTTAGAATCAATACTTTTATATAAAAAATTTTTTAAAAATCTAAAAATAAAAAAGCGCTATGTGACACAACGTGAAAGGATAATAGGTACCCCGGGTGTTCATAAAACTTAAATTTTCATTTTTTAAATTTCGCATTAATTAAAAACTAAATGATTTTTTTCTCTTAAATATTAATTTCTACCGTTAGAGATATATGTAAAGAATAAAATTAAGGTAAAACATTTTAGAAAAATTGCTTTGTCCATTTTTTATAGCCCTTCAATTTTTTATGGACAAACTGTCCCCGGTCTCCCCTATTATATATTTATAGTTATTGACCAAGAATATTAACATAGTACGATTACAAATATATTTATTTTCAAAATTTGATTTAAATAAAAAAATATACAATGATATACAGAATACAATTTTAAATAATTATAGAATTTTTTCATTTTTCTTGATTGTGGATATAGACTTGAATTGATCATGCATACAAATACAATACCAGCCTAAAAAAATATTAAAAAATAAATTATTACTATGCCTTACAAATTATTGCCATATACCGTCATGAAGACCCATTATATTTATATCCCAAGACGATAGCAATATGCATTGTTTTAAGGTGTAGGGAGCCATCCTGTTCCTCAATTTTGTAATAGTATTTCCGACAAGAGAAAAAGTTATTTCCGATGCCACTGAAGTTGTTTGTTGACATAGAAAGTCTCTTGCCATCTTAGCTAAATGAGGAAATCGATTTGCATTCCCTCTCCACCAATCAAGCACGTATGTTGTCTCGGGGGCTACCGGCTCAAGAAGATAGGTCTTTATCTGATTGTCACTATCACCATTTGATGATACTTTTCTAAAGAGATAAATTTAAAATAAATAAAAATCATAGAATATATAATTTAAATTAATTCTATCAAAATATATTATATTTACCTTCTTTTCAATCCCTGCAATAATGAAATAGTTTTAAGGTTAGAAGGATTGATATTATTGAATAAGTACTCATCAAATGACTCCGTCGTATATTTTGAATAAATATCTTTGAATATAGCCATATTTTTAATTGCTGCATCTTCCTTTAAATTAGTGATTAATGTATTTTTAATCCTAGGATCCAGTATTGATGCAGCATAGTTGTTTGGTGTTAATATATGCTGGCTATATTCGTCGTATTTTTTTATCATAGATGTTGCTGCTTCTCGTATTGAAGCATCAGAATTACCTATTTCTTGATTTTTTAAATTCTCCAGAATATCGTTGAAAAACAATATCGCCATCCCTATTGTTGGAAGCTGCGAGCTTATTTCAACCGTTATTTGATAAAAAGGCTTTAGAAATTCTTCTAAATTTGAGAAGAATTCTATATTCTCAGGAGCCAAATCGGTTTCAATTAATCCAAGCTCACTGAGATGTTATATTGCCTTGATATTCTATAAATAGATATAAAAAGAAATAATATTATAAATATACAAAAATATTTTTATTTTATACTTTATTAATGGCTGCTATCATAAGATATACGCTGTTCCATCTTGTTTTAACTGGAAGAGGTATTTTGGTAGCCCCATTAAAAGATTGATAAGTCTGCAATCGTCAAACAATAACCATAAAATTTAGAGAAAATGTATCATATGCCTAAAAATCAACTTATAAAAAAATTAAATAATTTTAAAAAATAAATTTGCCTTAACAACGGACATCTGGGCATCCCATAATGGTTCATCTTTCTGTTCATTAACACTTCACTACATCAACGAAGACTGGAATATTATAAACATAACCTTAGATTTATTATCATTCCCCCATCCACATACGGGGGATGATATATCATCTCTTATGATAACCTCCATGCATGATTTCGAATTTAAAGATAATATAATATCTATTACGCATGATAACGGCGCTAACGCGGTAAAAGCCGTAGAAATAATTAAGAAGTATCACCATTTAAATTATAAGACTGTTTTATATAGTCATCGTTGTATGGCACATATCCTTAACCTAATCATCAACGAGGGACTTATATTTTTGGATGATAAATTAACAAATAGGCTTTCTTTTCCATATTACATGTCTCACCAAATTTATTGAAGACTTATCAATCTTTTAATGAGGCTACCAAAATACCTCTTCCAGTTAAAACAAGATGGAACAGCATATATCTTATGATATAGCCATTAATAAGGTATAAAATAAAAATATTTTGGTATATTTATAATATTATTTTCCTAATTTTTTTTATATCTATTTATAGAATATCGAGGCAATACTACACCTCAGTGAGCTTAAATTAATTGAAACCTATTTGGCTCCTGAAAATCGAGAATTCTTCACAAATTTAGAAGAATTTCTAACTCCTTTTTATCAAATTACGGTTGAAATAAGCGCAAAACTTTCAACATTCGGGATGGCTATATTATTTTATAATGATATTATGGATAATTTGAAAAATCAAGAGATAGGCGATTCAGATGCTTCAATAAGAGAAGCAGCAACATTGATGTTAAAAAAAATACGACGAATATAGCCAATATATAATAACACCTAACAACTATGCTGCATCAATACTAGATCCTAGGATTAAAAATACACTAATCAATAATTTAAAGGAAGATGTAGCAGTTAAAAATATTGCCATATTCAAAGATATTTATTCAAAATATAACTCTTTTCAACGAGAATGTTGCAATAATACATTAGAAATCAGGCTGGGCCCATATTTTTTTAAAAAAAATCATTTTCCTGCTGGGTCGGGCTTAATATCTTTTAAAAAAATCGGCCAGGTCGGGTTGAGCCACGGAAATTTTTTAAATATATGTAAATTTATCAATTTTACGTTGAATTTTTTATGTATAATAAAAATATTTGATTATATTTATAGAAACTAGTGACGCTAAGCCACGCGTTAATATCACATTTATATTTTAGATTTTAAAATCATGTACAAATATATAATTTAATTTTTTTATCATATAAGAAAACATGGAATTTTATTTAAAAAGTTAGCTACAGATACTTAATTTTAAACCGAAAATAAAAATTATTTTTTAAGTATATTATGAAATATTCGTCCTTTAGTTGATGAAATTAACCAAATTCGGCCTGAAAGTTCGTATCTAATTCTGAACTAGGATCAGGATGGGATAGCTGGAAATAATCTCTCAGCTCACCTACATAATAATTCATTTTAAACTAAAAAAACCCTAAAAACACCAACTAAACCAACTACTAACCTTAAACAAATTCCCGGAACTCAACCAAATCTTCTAAAAATAAACTGTCAAAAAAGTATACTAAATCAATAAAATCCAAAAAAACAAAGCTGAAAATATATATTTTATTCTTAATTTATCAAAATTAAATCCAAAAAAATAATTCCTAATTTTTTATAAAAAAAAATTAATTAATCAAAACAAATAATATCAACATATATTATTACATCTAATTTTATATCCAATCAACCTTATTTTAATCGGTTGATTGGCATTTCGCGTAAAAAATATAAAATGTTAACGTATTTACAAATACGTCATGCCACCCCTTTATGGGATCAGGGCATGTCGATAAACAAAAAAAATTTTTTTACATGTATAAAAAAAATGTTCATGCTCACCTTCATGTTAAATGAATATTCCTCACCCTAAGCCGACATGGGACTGCTCCAAAAATCCCCTGCACTAGTCGTCGGTAGAACCTCAGTAGCTATAGTAGCCATAGCTCTCTGCAACATATCTACCTCTCGATGTCCGCGAGATTCCCCTAATTGTGGCACTCCATCATTATAACTTGGTCTTTTCGGAGGACGCCTATCAGCAGGTATGGCCGGTCCCATAAGAACAGAAGTTGTCGGCTGCTCCACATTCATCTCGTTATATATCCTCTTTTGTCCCTCATATGGTTCTACCCGCGGATTCTCCGATAACACCCCCATAGGTACACGATCCCTGGGTAGTTGCGTGCATTGATGTCTAAGATGACCCTCTCCCTGACAATTATAACATTTTTTCCGTCTAATCCCATATGTCGGTGGCTGATTCTCCTTCCGGCGTCCTTCTCCCAATTGAAGTTTTTGTTGTTATAAAGTTTTTTTTTTAAAAAATTAAGTCATTACTACTAATTTCTGAAAACCAAAATAAAGAAAAGGTCCACGTATATCCTTGAACCAGATATCCACAAATATTTTATCACATTCGAGAAATGGAAACAATCTCACGACTTGTGGACCTTGGAGATTTCTATCTCCAGGTCACGTTAATCAAGAAGCATGATGGTATGACCCTGGGAGAAGGACGCCGGAAGGAAAATCAGCCACCGACATATGGGATTAGAAGGAAAAAATGTTATAATTGTCAGGGAGAGGGTCATCTTAGACATCAATGCACGCAACTACTCAGGGATCGTGTACCTATGGGGGTGTTATCGGAGAATCCGCGGGTAGAACCATATGAGGGACAAAAGAGGATATATAACGAGATGAATGTGGAGCAGCCGACAACTTCTGTTCTTATGGGACCGGCCATACCTGCTGATAGGCGTCCTCCGAAAAGACCAAGTTATAATGATGGAGTGCCACAATTAGGGGAATCTCGCGGACATCGAGAGGTAGATATGTTGCAGAGAGCTATGGCCACTATAGCTACTGAGGTTCTACCGACGACTAGTGCAGGGGATTTTTGGAGCAGTTCCATGTCGGCTTAGGGTGAGGAATATTCATGTAACATGAAGGTGAGCATGAACATTTTTTTTATACATGTAAAAAAAATTTTTTGTTTATCGACATGCCCTGATCCCATAAAGGGGTGGCATGTCGTATTTGTAAATACATTAACATTTTATATTTTTTACGTGAAAGCCAATCAACCGATTAAAATAAGGTTGATTGGATATAAAATTAGATGTAATAATATATGTTGATATTATTTGTTTTGATTCATTTATTTTTTTTTTATAAAAAATTAGGAATTATTTTTTTTGGATTTAATTTTTGATAAATTAAGAATAAAATATATATTTTCAGCTTTGTTTTTTTTGGATTTTATTAATTTAGTATACTTTTTTTGACAGTTTATTTTTAGAAGATTTGGTTGAGTTCTGGGAATTTGTTTAAGGTTAGTAGTTGTTTTAGTTGGTGTTTTTAGGGTTTTTTTAGTATCTTATAGGATAAATCACGGTTAATGTTCCGGCTGTCGGTAATAAACAAGGAAAAAGATTGAAATTGTGGTAATATATGTATTGTAAATGAATATTCCTCACCCTAAGCCGACATGGGACTGCTCCAAAAATCCCCTGCACTAGTCGTCGGTAGAACCTCAGTAGCTATAGTAGCCATAGCTCTCTGCAACATATCTACCTCTCGATGTCCGCGAGATTCCCCTAATTGTGGCACTCCATCATTATAACTTGGTCTTTCGGAGGACGCCTATCAGCAGGTATGGCCGGTCCCATAAGAACAGAAGTTGTCGGCTGCTCCACATTCATCTCGTTATATATCCTCTTTTGTCCCTCATATGGTTCTACCCGCGGATTCTCCGATAACACCCCCATAGGTACACGATCCCTGGGTAGTTGCGTGCATTGATGTCTAAGATGACCCTCTCCCTGACAATTATAACATTTTTTCCGTCTAATCCCATATGTCGGTGGCTGATTTTCCTTCCGGCGTCCTTCTCCCAGGGTCATACCATCATGCTTCTTGATTAACGTGACCTGGAGATAGAAATCTCCAAGGTCCACAAGTCGTGAGATTGTTTCCATTTCTCGAATGTGATAAAATATTTGTGGATATCTGGTTCAAGGATATACGTGGACCTTTTCTTTATTTTGGTTTTCAGAAATTAGTAGTAATGACTTAATTTTTTTGAAAAAAAAACTTTATAACAACAAAAACTTCAATTTAATAAAAAAAATATAATTTACTGGTTCAAGGATATACGTTGACCTTTTCTTTATTTTAGTTTACAGAAAATGGTAGTAATGATTTCTTGTAAAAAAAAATTGACTCTATAACAACAAAAACTTCAATTTATTTGGTATTTCTAAGCCCTAAGTAAGTGGTCTCGACTAAAAAAATTTTAACCATAAGCTGAGTTGCTTGCAGGATTTTTCTATCTAAGTTCGATATTATTGATAAATATTTTTTTATTTAAAATATTTGAAACAACATTATTCATCTGGATCCCATGTCTGAACCCCTGTGCTCGGGGTTCGTTCTCAGAGCTGGTTTAGTCGATTTTTTGATCCAAACCCTGGGGCTAGGTTTTACATAACCAACCAATTAACTACACTACCCATCAAGACAAAAAATGAATACTTTCAATCCAAAGATATTTAAATTAGATTTTATTTGATACCCATATCGGCGTTGATAAAAAATTCCTGACCTCTCCCCCCACCCCAAAACTTAGACCCGCCCTCTATGAGTGATTATTATTATTACAATAAAATAATATTTTAATTATCAACATGTTTATTAAATCGTCACAACACAGCAACACGGCCCGGGTCTGCTCGGGGTTCATGCTCAGAGCTGGTTTGGTCGATTTTTTAGACCCAAACCCCGGGTTTGGGTTTTACATAACCAACCAAACAACACTACATAGAACACTATGATATTCAGCCAATGAAGTGTTAGTGCTTTTAAAAAAAAGGAATTCTATGTTTTATCCAGCATGTGTTATATATATATCCCCTTTTGAAAAAAAAAGGATATTTCTTCGAAACCCCGTTATCATCATACTGCCAATCTCGAAGAGGCCGACGACAACGTTAGCGCACAAAATTCCAGCGTTATAAATTGCGTTCAAACTGGGCAGGTTCACAAGGTTATGCCCCACGTGACCCAAAAGTTTTTCCGGCTCATAAATCCGGATAAGCCGGGAAGATTGTTGAAGGATTTGAAGAAGCATTTGGTGGAGGAGCGACAGACCCATTTAAACCAATCGAATCACGAGAAAAAGGTATTTTATTTTTTTGAGTCATCACTTTTGGAGGTTGAAATATTCTGATAGGCCGTGAAACAGCTCAGTATTTTATCGCCCCCGTTATACATGCATTACGTTCTAAAAAATAAAGAAAATGGAGCTTTTTAAAAATAGTTTTATATAAATTTATATTGCTAGTTAGGGTTGGGCTTATTTTTTTTAAGTTCGGCCCGATCCGAAAGTATTTAGCCGACCTATATCCGACTTTCTTAAATCCGGTCAAAAAAATTGAAGGGAATATGGAACTAACAAACAAAGAGCGACTTTTTTAAGAAGTAGAAGGATGAAAGAAAGCTAGAAAAAAAGAAAGTTAGCTTGTTTTTTCCTCTTCTTGAATTAGATGCATTTGGAAAGCAAATTTATTTTAATATTTTACAACGTGGCCTGATTAGGATTGCAATTTTTAATATCAAGATCCGGGATCGACCCAGTCAGAGAGAATGTCTACCAGACCTTACGTATCGAGCAGGTCTGATTAATATGATTTTATAAAAAAAAAAATCGCTATTAATTATAATAGTTAAAGAAACAAAAAATGCTAGTAGTAGAATTTCGATTCCAGACTAGTGATTTTGTTCATCGTAAAATTGTATGTAATTTATATAAATAAATGTACCCCCCACCCCCTTCTCCCCTTACAAATCACATGTTCGAAAGGTAAAAACTTTCAGAGGAATCGTGTCCGATCATCCCGCGAATGTCGCCGATGAGCGGGTTTCGCGAATAATAACCACTCCTCCCGTTACCATGGTGTTTTGCCAAACTCACGAGACCGTAGATTGGTTGATGAACTTTTTAGCGGAAAATCTTCGAAATTGGGGGTTCTACGCTAAATACGGTTCCGCAGAGCTATGTCAAAATTCCGAAAGGTCTAAAACTGCTTATATACCTATCGTTAAAGCGATGGAAGCGTTTCACGGGAAAATGGATTACCTCACTAGAGATACCATTTTTAGGCGTTTTTTCTCCAAGGACACTGATATATACCAAGGTTTTTGTTACAAAATATCTCGACAAATTATAAACCGGATATTTAATTTTTGATTAATTTCCACTCCTTTAATTTATACATTAAATCTTTCCTTCTGGGATAAGCTTAAGTGTTTCTTTCCTTTCCTTTCCTTTCCTTTCCTTTCCTTTCCTTTCCTTTCCTTTCCTTTCCTTTCCTTTCCTTTCCTTTCCTTTCTTTCTTTCTTTCTTTCTTTCTTTCTTTCTTTCTTTCTTTCTTTCTTTCTTTCTTTCTTTCCTTTCTTTCTTTCTTTCTTTCTTTCTTTCTTTCTTTCTTTCTTTCTTTCTTTCTTTCTTTCTTTCTTTCTTTCTTTCTTTCTTTCTTTCTTTCTTTCTTTCTTTCCTTCCTTCTTTCTTTCTTACTTTCTTTCTCAATTACTATTCAAAAAAAACGAAATTTATATTATTCATAAAATAAATTAAGATCTCACTTCTAAAAGTAATCCAAAAGATCCCCGATTAAATTTAAACCTCAAAAGCCCTTTCGCCGCGGTTCCCCTCGTATACCTCATAACCACCGACGTAATGTCTCGCGGTCTGGACACGACGCACGTGAACAGGGTCATAAATTACGATTTCCCGAATTACATTTCAGATTACATTCACAGGATAGGGCGCGTCGGGAGATGCTCCGTTAATACCGGTAATCTCGCTCAATAATATTTAGTAAAAGATTGATCTTGTACAATGATTTATTATTGTATATTTATTATCAGTGATGTCGGGCCACCTAAGTTTAAGTTGCGCATGCGTCTATTATTGTTATAGGCAAAAAGTCAAACATATCCTAGATTAATCTTTTTTTTTTTTTGTAATGAAGGTTTTGTTAAAAATTGGAAATAATAAAATGAAAGTCTCGAAATACAAGAATTCTTTATTTTGTCTACCCACCTATTCTGTGAACCTTTTCACCGAAATCTTTAAATTTTTTAAAAAATTATTGCTATAAAATAAATATTTTAAATAAAAAAAATTTTTATTCCTACGCCAAAAAAAAAAAATTAATTTGAAACTAGAAAATTATTGTTCCCTTTTGGGAACTCTGTAAAAAATATATCAGGCTGCATATTGAGTTTTTTTGTTTTAAAATTAATTAATTATTTTTCTTATATTTATCGTTGTATATAAGTTATTCTATAATATATGTAATGTATATAGAATTTTTGATTTCCATTTAAATAAATAGTGCTGCTATTTGCCTATAACTTAGCTAAATTTTTTAATAGAAGGTAGTGGCTGCTGAATAAAATTTTAAATGTATGAAACCTTTTCTTAAAATATATCAACTTTTCCCCCGAATTTTGCAAGTTATTCAAATTTTCTTGATTTTTTTTTCGTCAAATATAAAAATTAACTTGGAACCAGTTACTTTTAAAAACTGTAAAATAACGAAAAGTTATCTTAACAACAATAATTATTAAATATTTTGTATGGTCTATTTTTATAATTATAAATTAGGGTTTATCCGACTATATCATCCCTATTTTATATATATTATTTTAGCCAGTGTTAACGATATTCTAAATAATCATACCAATTTGGTGCTCAATTACGTTAGCTCGCCCAGGGAAGCGAGATTGGTGCAGTTAATCGAAGTAATTATTTTTTACACATACAATCTTCAAAATTTTCGGGCTGTTTCCTGATTATCATTTTTTTTTAAATGTAACTGCTTTATATCGTTTAATATTATTAGAAATTTTTATTTAATTAGACAATTAGATTCACTTAAAAAATATCAAAATCTTGAAAACATTTACGTAAAACCAATAAAATATCTCACAAATAAACCTAAAAATGATACTTTAAATATGATCATAAATATATTATATTATCTATCGGATTTAGGTTATTATGATCAAATTGATAATTCATTTTAAAAAAAAATAATTATTAATTAAATCAGCTGTTAACAATAATATTCGTGAATATTTTACATAACAATATTTTCTATTTTTCGAGATTTGATTTAAAAAAATATTTGTTTTCATTTAAATATATATATTAGGAAGCCGTCAGAAAAAACAAACCGCTATATAACGTTAACGCGAATATCAAAAGAAAAATATCATCGTTAAACGAAAATAAACAAGAACCGCACTAATTTTATTTATTATAAATAATAGATTGATGGATGTCAATAAAAAAATCTATTCGAAGAAGATTAAAAAAAAAATCATACTATCGAAATTATATTACGATTCGAATATTGAAATATTCAATTCAATTTTATGATGTCTACTTTGATACATGTATCGCATTACGAAGTATCTTAACATTGAAAATGGTGTCTTTACTCAAATTAGTAACTAATTTATTTACCTTGTGCTGGAAAGTATTTACGAACAAATTAAAATGATTTGGCTGGTTATGGTTGTAAGTTTGTTTTCTAATCACTTATAAAATTCAATTAATTTATGTATATAAAATTACCTTGTAGAGATTAAGTTAGAATTTGGTCGTTATTATTATTATAAATTGTAATTGTTTATAATAGTAACTAACTTCTTTCTTATTGTTTATGTAAATTTTGATCAAAAATTACAATTTACTCTCCTAAATTAATTCACGAGGCGTAAGAAGTGAATGAATATCATATATGCTTTTTTTTTCTGGATTTTTGTAAACATTATTAATAAATTTTTGTTATATTCTTAAAATGGGAAAATATAAAAGCGAAAAAAAAACGAGAAATTAATCATTACATTTATTTTATTATTCAATATGTATTTTCTTCTGTAAAATTTGTCGCTAATTGCTACGATACAGATCTATTTGACTTGAATTCTAATTAATTGTGGTCACCAAAACACATTGGTTTCATTACCAAAAATAAGTAAGAATGAAAGTATATAATCCCATAAACATAAAAGTATTTTATGTTATCAATATGAAATCAAAGATGAATAATATAATAAATGTACAAATATTTAATTAATTCGCATATAATCGTCAGATATGTTTAGAGGATAAGTGGTTGGAGTAGGTCTAATTATACTGTAATGGTACACTTCAAGTAATCTGTAAGTTGGTAATGTCTAGTTATCTCAGTTCTATAGTAAGTTGTATGATTTGTCATAATTTTATGGTTAATGGATAAGTAGCTCTTATATTGCAATAACATATAAATGAATAAAATTTAAAAATGTAAAATAAAAGTTACTTTACTCAAAATGTAACAGTTACAGAGCTCTTTTTTTATTTACAAATTGATAGAATTACCTGGGTTATGTAACGTAGCGCTATTTGTAACTATAAAGATTAAGGATCAGAATTCGATTATATCACAAGAATTTTATTTTGCTTAATCGATAAGTAGAATAAAAATAATATATTTGAAAAATTCAGTACTTCTTGGAATTCTACAGGAACACCCTAGTCCTAAGAAATAATTCAGGACTATATATGATTTTTTAATGCCATGGCATACTAGATGGAAGTATGTATGACGTTTTCTTGATGTTGCTTTCAAAAATAATCTAAACTCAAAAGTCTATTGGTCAAATTAGATCTTTCATTTTTTAAGAAATGGAAGTTAAATTTTTTGGAATAATACACAAAAATTTTAGCTCTTGTTACCGATAAACTTCAAAAATAGGAAAATTTCTCTTATGGTGATTTAGTGACACTACTATTTGTGATCAGGAAAAGAGTGCATACACTTTTGCTAAATTATTTAAATATATTTTAGATGAGCATGCATATATTTTATTATAATTTTTTTTTTAATTATTTTAAATATTTTGTGGCATTGCTATCTTTTGTTTTTTATCTAATGTTATCTTTTGCTTTTTTTTGCCTATTTATCCGATACTTAAAAGAGGCTTAAATAGCTGGCTATTAAGTATTAAGCCGACAATGTTTTTCTTTTATTGTTTGCAAACTATTTATTTAAATATAATTCTAACGAATGACATATTTTATCAATTTGTATAAAAAAATTTATTATAATTACTTTTAAGATATATCAGGATAAAAGAATAATAAGAATTCTTAATTTAAACTTTTATATGTAGATATTACTTTATTTAATCGATTTTGAAATTATGAAAAATTTACAATAATAATTATATATATTAATATATATTGTAAATAAATAAAAGTATTTAAAAACAATAAACGCCAACTTGCGGATTGAATATTATTGAATTATATAAAAAAAATTTAAAAAAAATTTGACCATCAAGTCCCCCCTGGGAGGGGAAAGGTGTCGACGGGGTTCTTGGGTCCGGGATGGTCGATAAAGGGGACTGTGGAACCGGATTTGGCTGTAGGTTTAGTCATAGAAACTCAACAATCAAAACAGGAATTTATCGTAAACACGAATTTTTATTTACTCAGTTTTTACTATATTTAATAGATATTCGAAATTTTTTAATAAAATAAACAGCCATATCTAAATAATTTCAGAAATTTTTAACAATTTTAAAAGGAGTCGGACGAATCCTGATCGATTTGACGTGAAAGACCCTTATTTATAGGGATAAAATATTACTTGAGGAAGTTGTACTACTGTATTTTTTGGAACAATGTATACATTGTTTATGAATCTTGGTGGGGAGTAACAACAAAACTCCCCTTCATATCTAACGAAGTAGAAGAAGGTTCTGAATATTGTGTAGATTGTAATTGAGACGAAATTATATCTAATCCAACTTCTAACATATCAATGTCACTAGAATTCATGCTAAAAATAAATCTTCGATAATTTTAAATATTAATCTAAATAATATTTATTTCATAATATATTTATTTAACCTATATGTAAATAGATTAATGTCATTACTCAGGCGCGTTCGCAGCGGGAGGGGGGGGCAGAGGGACAAATCACTCTCCCCCCTCCCCCCAAAGCCATAAAATGCAGAAGCCGCATAAATTTTTAAAAGATATTTTGTTAATATTAATATTTATAATATTTATTCCTATCTCTTTCTTATAAATAATAAATATATATTTAATAATATTTAGTTATCACATTCATCTACCAAATTATTTTATCAATTAATTCCGATTTCAAGTTGGCATAATATTTATCTATTATTTTCAAATTTCTATTCAAATAAAGGGGTGTACTGGATTTTGGGGAAACCTAAAAAGCACACCTTAAATTACAAAAGAATATCTAATTTTGTTCAGATCTTTTATGATGGATTTAAATTTCAAAAATACATATCTAATATTATTTTTGGGAACAAGAGAACCCTATCCGGGGACGACCGAGCCTTTGCCCGGTACTGTTATAACCTCTGCTTAATTTTCTATAAAAGTTATATATTTTTTGTTAGGACATATGATTTAAAGCATAAAAGCAATATATAAAATCATTTATAAATAAACAAATGGGAACATTATTGACAATCTTTGCAAATAAAAAAAAAAATTGCAAAGCCATTATAGCTAATGTAAATTTATTTGCATACCAAACAATTATTTTTCTAATAAGATTTTTCGATTTTTTTCTTTTATTTGCTCTCTCCTTAGGCTTTTTTTTGCATGTCAAATTTTAAAAAAAGAGCAAAAAAAAGTTCGACTTAACCCCATAAAAATAGCCACACGCCTAGGCCTGATATCCCCATTAATTTTATTTAGCTGAATGGAATTAAGTATATTATTATGAAAGATATGATTGAGCAATATGGCGAATTGTGTAAGTATATTTTAATAAAGGGGTTGAGTTGGTTTAATTATTTCTTGGAGATAAATGGCTCGAAAGCCATCAACGCCTCCAGAAGAATCTCTTTTGAATGACTTTATTGCTTACAATATTTCCATCTCAGTTAGTGGAATGGTATTAATGGTGAAATGTCATCGTCAATCTCGAAAACTGGCTAGAACCAGTTTTGAGGATAAAATCATAACAGGTCCGATTCACTTATAAACGAATATTGTACAATAAGATGATATAAATTATAAAATAATTAAAAATACTAGAATTTTTTTATATTAATAAATTAAATTTAATATATGATATGTCATTTATTTATAATTTTGTTTATATCAACGAATCTCATCAATTAATAGAGTATATATAAAAACATTTTACCTATGTATTTGCAGTTTACATTATCATTTGTAGTTTACCAAGTTGTAGTTTAGTTAAAATATAAACGCTGAAAATAATCGGAATTAAAAATTCTTTTTTTTATAGGCAAAATTCACCTACACCCCCCCCCCCCCTACCTATCAAATATATAAACGTTGTATACAAATTTTTATAAAAAAAACTATGATAAAGAAACATTAAATTTAAAAATAAAATATAAAAAAAAATTCCATGACCAAAATCCCTTGATTGAACATCTAGTGCATAGAAAAGGTTTAGGGCTATTTTACTCCCAATCATATAGACATATGCGTTAAAAAGGGAACTTGGGATCTCAGTCAATAAAAGACAGCAAAAATTAATGACAAAAACGTGAATAAAGTTGTGCGCAAGTCGAGAGAATCAGTGGCCGCCTAAGGAAAACCAATGCTACTTTTTTAGATTGGGAGAATTCACAAATTTTCGCTTAATTTAGATTATTACTATTATACTAATTTTTATTTATTAATTTAATTCTATATTAATATAACTATTATTATACTTTTACATTAAATTATATTTTACATTGAGTGGGGTGAAAAAAATATTTTCAAAATGGGCTGGCGAATTTTTGATATTTTTAGGGGGCAAGATGGCCAAAAATGCTTCTAATTATTAAAGATTATTCTTTTTTTAATTTCATAATATTGCATATCTTACACCCGTAATTAAAATTACATTAAGATAAATGAAAAGCCAAACCAGCCATTAAAATATTTGATTGGCGGGATAAGCAAATTTTTTTAGATAAATATGTTGACAGATTAATTTTTTTAAAAAAAAACCATGGATGGATGGGCAGGTTTAAAAAAATTTAAAAACAATGAGTGGGAAGGCTTGTTAACCAAAATCTGCTCATTGCCGATCTCTCTTCTAGGCAGACTTTTAGCATCTATCATTTGAAATGTGCGTAACACTCTATCTAGTAGTAAAGTAAAATAAACAAATGGCCAATTTGGGCCAAATACTTCTAAAAACCCATAAGCCTCAAAACTTAACACTTTACAAATTAGGCCAGGGAACTTCGTTTTTTTATATATATAAAGACAAAATTTACATATAATTATGGTTCCTCTTTGGGAACAGAATTAACTATTGTATAATTTCTCTTTACCTTAGTAATTTTATAATTTCTATTTTATATATATTATAGGTTGACATGGCCAAGCACAAACTAGCCCGTTAAACTTTTTGAAAAGTTAGGTCTTGGACCATAATTATTTACCAAGGATTGTAATTAATTTATATAAATGGAAAATCAACTTTTTTTCAACACTATAGTCTGGCCAAGAGAACTGCAAAGTAATTTTTTCGCAACCCGAACCCGACCCGAGCCCGAATTTAAAATTTTTTTTTGTCCGAGCCCGACCCGAGCACACATTTTTTAGTCCAACCCGACCCGAGCCCGACCCGAATAAAATTTTGCAATTTAAGTTTTAATATCATAATAACCAAAAAAAAATTTATGTGTATTTATTCAGTTCAGTCACCTTAAATAAAAGTTTATTTGACGGCCATAATCTATTCAAGATATATATTAAATTGCATTTTATTAAATTTGTAAAAATATTATAAAACGATTACTATACAAGCGAATTTAAAAATTATAACGATTATATAATACAATAAGCATCATTTATGCGAATATAGATATGATATAAAAGTTAATAAATATATAAAAAATATAATGAACATATTATATTATATTGACCTCTTCAATATCATTATCAAAATTATCACAAAGTGAATAATTATGATATATAAATAAAGAGGCGTCCAGTTTATATGGCTTTAAACGAGTCCTTCTCTCCTCAAAGGCCCTACCAGCAGCTTAAAACGCCCTTTAACTGCTAGCCGACGAAGCAGGGATAGCCAGGAATTAAAGAGCTAAAATACTTAAATTTAGAAACTCATAATGGTTTGTTTTCCACCATTTTAAAATATTATCGTCATCAATACATAATTTCGGATCTAGGTATTTTTTTAGCTCGTCAACTTCGGCGCTAGCATCAGAATACGCATTGTCAGTCTCCCATAGAGAGAAGTCCAAAAACGTATCTACCACCTCTGTAGTTTCTTAAGAAAAAAATATTCATTAATAATATTAAGATATATATTTACTTAATTATTTTTAAATAAATAATTTTATTATTAATTTAATAAACCTTTATTTACTACTTTATCGGTTGAGCATGAGTTAGATGGTGAGTTGTTTAAAGACTTTTGCTCAATCACATCTCTGTTGATTTTCTCTGCATTAATCAACGTGTTGATATGTTGACACAAATCTTAATAATGTTCCCGGGATAACATTTTCATATCCCGAAATTTTGGACATAAAAATGTCGAAATTTGGTGGAATAAATCTATTTTAAATTTATCCACCAATATTTCCTGGGATCTTAATGAAAGCTGGTTTAGCTGATAGTTTAAGCTAGGATTAGCTAAAAAACTCAATATTTTATGATAACATAACTTTGTGAATAGCAGGTTTTAAATCACTCTCAAGTTCATCACTCGCAATTTTAAAAGGCGTCAGAAACTTGATCAGATCCCTCATCATTTCAAAATCAATATTTTCAAGTCTAATCGACTCTCCTCTGGAAATGAGGATTTCCAATATGTCATTAAATTGATTAAAGATCGATTCAATCATATTCAACCTACTATTCCACCTAGTCTCAGCATACATGTGGAGAGTTTTATCGAGGCGATTAACTAATCTAAAATGTAATGATATGTTTTAATAAAAAGTTAATTTAACATACCCACTCTGTTTCATATACGTTACTAAACTTTTACAGTCATTAAAACATTGATTTATCTCCGAACAAGATTCGAAATTTTTGTTATCAAAAGTATTTCTCAATACTGTATTTAATAGATGAGAAGCACAATTTAAACGCTTATGATTTTCAAAAGCTTTAATCATATTAGCTCCTTGGTCGGTAATAATTGGAATTTCCGATAAATAGGCCCTGCTGTATCCTGATACAAAGAATACATGGATTTTTATAAATATTTTTAATGAAATCAATACCTAACAAGGTGAAATTTCTAATAATTTCCTTTTTGATATTTTCCCCTGTCTTTATTTACTCTTCAAATTTGCATGTAAACAATACAATTTTATTTAGTTTCCAGGAATCATTTATAAAATGAATTGTTAGAGTTACATATGATATTTTTTTATAATCATCAGTCCAAAGGTCTGTGGTGGCTATAAAATATTATTAATAATTTAACCATATTTTCATAAATTTGTTACCAGCACATCGACGCTTTTTCATATGAGTTTAATATAGGAAATAATTTATTGCGGATAAGCAGTATCTACTAAATTTCTAGAAATTGTCGTAGGATTTGGAATGATGCTTTTAACATCAATATTTCCATATATTGAACCAATTTTGGCAAAATATTGGCAACAATCAACAAAGCCTTCCCCATGTATCATCTCAAATCACGTCCACAAAGCATAGTAAGCACCTTTGTGCACTCTTTTTTTAAATTTGTACAACTTTTGAGTTTTTTCGGATCAGTACCAAAAAGAATATCAATTTTTAATTGTGTCTTTTTACTCTCTGCTGTTGTACTTGTATTTGTATATACACATTTATGTCTTTTAAGTTGATTTGTGCCTAAAATAATTTAATAAGATCATATTTTAAGTATAAATATCTAACCTGTTGTTATTGAATTATATACATAAATAAATTTGCATATAATACAAATGACATAATTAAGCTTTTCTTTATTTTCATCATATATAAATGAAAATTTCTTCCATACATACATCGGATTTTCCATTAAGATTCTCCGTTACTTCATACTCTTTTGTCTTAATCTTTTCACCAATTCTTTTTAATTTTGCATCTATTGAGATAATTTTTTTAATATGGCTGTGTCTAAAATCTAAAAAAATATTTAAAATGACTTTAATCAATTAGATCGAAATAAACAGAGTTGGGCAGTACTGCGAATACTTGTATCTAAGATACATGATACAAGATCCCTTTATATCTTGTACTCAATATATTTTGACATTTTTAATAAGATACTAATATCTGTATCTAAGATCCTTAATTCTGAAAAGAATCTTGTATCTTTTTCATTTTCTTGACAAAAGATACAGATACAGATTCTTTTTAATATTCATGTTTTAAATTTTACATATCACAGTAAACATCTTATTTTCTTTGAGAATCTTGTATTAATTTCCTAATTTTTTTCTGCCATATTTTAAAATATTGACAGCCAAAATTAGCTGGAAAATTTACAACTCATATTAAGGTAGATAGATAAAAAAATAATAATACCAAAACGAAAAAAGTAAAGATTATATTTTATATATAAATGTAACTTAGAATATCATTACTAATTTTATATAATATTTTTTAATTTCTAGAAATAAGTTCCCCTGAATCAAATCCCAATCTTAAATTTTATATGGAAATTTTTTAAAACAAATGTTAAAAAAGACAATGTTAGGCTAGATATATAATAAATAAAACTTATCTTTAGTACATAAAATATGTCTTATCTTGTAATTCACGGGAAACACAATTTAGTGATAAAATTATAGGTTAGATAAATAATAAATAATGAATAAAACTTATCTTTAGTACATAAAATATGTTTTATCTTGTAATTCACGGGAAACACACAATTTAGTGATAAAATAATTTGGTATCCGGTTGTTAGGTTTATAAAATATATATTAATAATGACATGACATGTTAATATGATTGACATTTTAATCCTAAAATGTGATAAATATTAAATAATATGATTTTATAATTAATATTATAAATTATACTGACTATTTAAGATATTAATATTATTATTTATTTTTGGGTCGGACAGCTTTTACAACCCGACCTGAGCCCAAGAAATTTTTTTTTGATGTCCGAACTACGGACAGCCCTTGCCGTTCTCTAGCTGGCCCATAAAAATATTATGGATAATTTGTTTAGTCCAGCCCAAAAGACTTCTTGCCTAGTCTAACTCGAATAGGTTTTGGGGATTAGGGTCATTCCTATTGCTATACATTTTTTAAAAATATTTTAATTCAATATTTATATCAGATACCTGTAGGCCTGGCACTAAGCTCAGGTCATATTTTAATTTTTTAAATACATCTGGGCATGGCTAAAAAATTTTCAAAAAGGACGTATTTTAAACCCAAATATTTGAAATCACTATTAGCTATAAATATCAAAAATAAATATTTTTTTTAAAAAATGATAGCTTGGATTCTAAAAATATAAAATGGGGACATGGCCAAATTTTTTTTTTGAAAAAATACCAAATACCAGGCCATGCCATGCAAATGGAATCTCTGCAGGCCTATGATAAATATTCTCAATAAGAAGGTTTACAAATAAAAAATAGATCCTTAGATGTAAATAATTTTAAGAGGCAATAATACTTTACTAAATATCAGTGAACACATAGTAAGATTAATACAAAATATTGCTATCATAACAAAATATTTTTGTTTATTAAATATTAATCAATAACATTCAAGGATTATATAAAATATCTTACAAATAAGTATAAAATGTCCTAAAAATAAGTCAACGGTATTGATAGTTATTTTGTGCATTAAAGGGATTAAAATTAAGAGGTAAATTTTGATTCATGTATGGATTTGGCATATTAAACATATTATTTGCTGGATAGATGTTACTATTATAAGGATTTTGCATACCAGGTGGAGGGAAATTTGATATGCTATTAGGTGGGGGAAAATTGTGCATGTTATTAGGTGGAGGAAAATTTTGCAGGTTTAAAGGAGGAAAATTATTGTTGTTTATAGGAGGAAAGGCATTCATATAATTTCCAGAAAAATTGTTGGAACTAATATTAGATGGAGGAGGATAATTACGTGGACGTGTGTTATTGTTTTTAGATGTATAGTTAGAGTTATTAGCAAGATTATCTGGTTTATATATTTTTTTATCTTTTTGAAAATTGCTATTTTTATCATCAAATCTATCCTTTTTATGTGGATTATTAAATTTTTGGGTATTATTAAAGAATGACTCGGCCTTGTTGTTTTGATCAAACCTGTTTGATTTATTGAGTGATTCAGTTGAGTGATAACTTTTGTTTAAATTTGTTTGTGGATAGATCATTAAATTATTTGCATTGGAACCTTATTATTAAATTATTTTATATTGCAACAATTTTAAAGCTACCTGTAATACTGTTATCAAAGGGTATGAATGGAGGAGGTTTTAAATTATGTCCTGAACTATTATAATATGAAAGGCCACCTTTTTCGAAATCCTATATAAATGAATATAAAGATTATATTTTTAATAAAACTTTCAGAATTTGGTTATCAGCTTTATCATTGAAAACTTTTATGTCTTTATTAAGTTGTGGATTATACATTATTTTACAATTTGATTGAGTCAAGAAAAGTATGCCATTAAAAGATTTAATTTTATCTAACTGTATAATAATTGTCTGTCCTTTCAATGATAAGGAATTTGCGCTAAAATAATATATTATACTTTAATATATATTACACATATACTTTTTAGGAGCAATTGGTTCTTGTTCAATAGCATAAGCCGTGCTTCCATTAAAATTCAATACAAATTTCAATAAGCTCTTAGCAGTTATTTGATTTAAATCCTCAACTTTACCTTTGGATATGTCTATGACATCGACAATTTGATATGCCATTTTAAAATAAATGAATGAATATATATTAGAGACAAAATTTATAAATAAGATTTGTTAAGTTACAGATGGCAAAAAATGTATGGGATTAAAATGTTAGTTAAACTAAATAATTCTATTGTTAAAAAAAAGTGTCATCGATTAGACAATACTATAAAAAAAATTTAATTTAAAACATATTCATTTGTTTTAAGTTTTTGAATTCAACATAATTAGATATTCATACTAATTTAGAATATAAATAAAAAAAAACAGATATTCGAAAAAACATAACTAGAATTATAACTTACAGGAAAATTGTACTATACAGAACACTTTCATCGTTTTTACCAAACAAGAAAATCAATTTTTTATCTAACTAAAAGTTTATATGTTGTCATGTTGGTATGTAAGTAAATTGTATATAACAGTATTATTCAAAAATTTCTAAGTATTTCGAAAATAATGATATCCTATAACGCTTGATTCTAGGTTATTTAAATTTTTCTATATCGGCGAATAATTTCGCGTTTTGTTTGTACTAGAACAATCGATGAGGAAATATTTATCACTTTATAAATAATGAGAGGATATTTTTGAATAATATCGTCGACGGAAAATAATTTTAGTAGGATTATTATTTTAAAAAGACTTCTTTAAAATCTTTCGATTTATAAGAATATTTTTTTATGATGAACCGCAGGTTCACCTATGGAAACTTGTTACGACCTCAGAATGAGAGCTAGGTCAAATTTCAAGCTCAAGTTCGAAATTGATAAAGATCTCGAATCAAGACCTATTCAATGACCACACTAAATCATTTAATTGGTAGTAATAGGCGGTGCGTGCAAAGGGCAAGGACGTAATCAACGCAAGCGCATGCTCGCACTTACTAGGAATTTCTCGTTCAAAGAAAATAACTATAATGTCCCCCTTGTTAAATAAAACAATATAGATATATTTAAAGCGTAATTTTGAAAATAATATGAGAATATATACAACTTTAAAATTTAAAAAAAACGTAAAGTACAAGAAGATATAAAGATATATAAAGATGACATTATTAATATTGATTCCTTATTATAGCATCTAATAAAATTTACAATACATGTGGAAAGGAGGTGGAATAGTTGTAATTAATGTTGAGAATACAATAAATCATTTACATTGTGGAAGGTTGAAATATTGAGATTTATAAAGATGACATTATGTTATAACAATAATTAATATACCAACAATTCGAAAAGGGGAAGAGGATCTCCATTCTGTCATTATAATTTCCTTTAATTTTTAAAAACATAAATTATACTATATGGGGTTAATTGATCTTATATTGTAATCATAATTCCCAAAAATTAACTTTAAATATTACATTACAAAAGGACAATCTTAATAAATATAATGGATTAAATTTATATTACATTTTAACCTAACAATATCATAATTTGATTATAGTAAAAATTGTTATATTAAGTGTAAAAATTAACATTAAAAAAAAATTTAAAAGCAAAAATTATGATAAGAAAAATAATAATAGTATAATTGCTTTCTAATATAAGAAGTAAAATGTGATACATATATGGATTTGGCATATTAAATATATTATTTGCTGGATAGATGTTACTATTATAAGGATTTTGCATACCAGGTGGAGAGAAATTTGATATTCTATTAGGTGGGGGAAATTTGTGCATGTTATTGGGTGGAGGAAAATTTTGCAAGTTTAAAGGAGATAAATTTTGCAAGTTTAAAGGAGGAAAATTTTGCAAATTTAAAGGAGGAAAATTATTGTTGTTTATAGGAGGAAAGTCATTCATATAATTTCCAGAAAAATTGTTGGAACTAATATTAGATGGAGGAGGATAATTACATGGTTGTGTGTTATTGTTTCTAGATATATAGTTAGAGTTATTAGCAAGATTATCTGGTTTATATATTTTTTTATCTTTTTGAAAATTGCTATTTTTATCATCAAATCTATCATTTTTATGTGGATTATTAAATTTTTGGGTATTATTAAAGAATGACTCGGCCTTGTTGTTTTGATCAAACCTGTTTGAATTATTGAGTGATTCAGTTGAGTGATAACTTTTGTTTAAATTTGTTTGTGGATAGATCATTAAATTATTTGCATTGGAACCTTATTATTAAATTATTTTATATTGCAACAATTTTAAAGCTACCTGTAATACTGTTATCAAAGGGTATGAATGGAGGAGGTTTTAAATTATATCCTGAAGTATCATAATATGAAAGGCCACCTTTTTCGAGATCCTATATAAATGAATATAAAGATTATATTTTTAATAAAACTTTCAGAATTTGGTTATCAGCTTTATCATTGAAAACTTTTATGTCTTTATTAAGTTGTGGATTATACATTATTTTACAATTTGATTGAGTCAAGAAAAGTATGCCATTTAAAGATTTAATTTTATCTAACTGTATAATAATTGTCTGTCCTTTCAATGATAAGGAATTTGCGCTAAAATAATATATAATACTTTAATATATATTACATATATACTTTTTAGTAGCAATTGGTTCTTGTTCAATAGCATAAGCCGTGCTTCCATTAAAGTTCAATACAAATTTCAATAAGCCCTTAGCAGTTATTTGATTTAAATCCTCAACTTTACCTTTGGATATGTCTAAGACATCGACAATTTGATATGCCATTTTGGTTCGGGTCCTAAATATTCCCACAGCTGTTTTCGCGTTAAAAAGAAGAAAGATGGTAAATACAAACTAGACATTTTTAACATTTTTTAAAATTTTATTTTTAATTTAAAATTTTAATAAATTTATAAATATCAATAATTTACACAATATTACTACTGATAATAAAATTATTTATAAAAGTAAAACATATTAAATTTTTTAATTGTACTAATATAGAAATAATATTTAACTTTATATAAATATATATAACAATTATAAATAAAATATTTAAATATATATAAAATAATATTTATTTATATATATTTAGAAAGAATATTTAAACATATCATAATCCTCGATTAATATTAATGATTTCAGATAATAATAGAATAAACCGATAATCTTGCATCTATGTTTTGTCAGGTATAAAAGAAAGGTTATTGACAAATTGTCAGATGACAGGTATAAAGATTTAATATGACGTAAAATGTTATAAATTTTTATCCACTATTATCTATTTTTATCTAAGATAAAAAGCTTCAAAATATATTTTTTTAATATGCCCCACTGAGTATTTTGGAGAAGATATCTTAAAGCGCCCTACCTATTTTTTTCTCTCCCTTTCCTCATTCTATACTGTGTGTGTGTGTGCATTAGACTAAAAATATTTCAATTATTATCTTCATATAGCCATTTATGCCACTTATCCTTTACATTATTTTAACTAGATATACAAAAATACGAATCGAATCGAATAATTCATATTCGTAATAATAATAAAATGATTATTATATTCGATTCGTCGAATATTCAATTCAATTTGAAAATTTTATTTAACCGTAAATTAAAAAAGATAGCATATTAAATTTATTTTGTAAAATTTAACTTTGGATAAAAGAAAAACAAATTTTATTAGTAAGAGATTATAGATAATAGTAAATAATGTAGAAAAATCAATATAATATTCATATCATGTAGAACAAATATACCAACAAAAAATTTTTAAAGAAAAAATATCTGGTTCGCCCGTCATTCTTAACGGGATAGCTAGTTATTTAAAATTGTATATGAGTTATAAATTACATATAAGTAAATACTTTCTTCGTCCATCATAAAACAATTTTCGGAGGTTAATTTTGTATTATGAATTATTCGAGTAAAAACAGCCGTTAACAACATTTAGAAATATAAAATGTTTCTTCATTTTTCCTAGGAAATTTTATTAAATAGGAATAATTGTAAATAATTCATACTAATAATATATTATTAATAAATTATAATCGAATAACCTCAAATTATTCGATCGAATAATAGATAAAAAATTATTCGACGAATAATATATTTTCCTATTAAAATTTTTGAATCGAAATTGTGTTATTCGTATTCGTAAAATACGAATCTAATCAAATCGAATATCTTATAACAAATAATTCGTTTTAGGTATAATTTTAACTATTATTATTATAATTTTAGACACATCAAAAAAGAAACCAACTATCGATGATTTTTTTGGAATAATATTATTGAAAATCTTTTAGACGCATTTTTTTAAATCTAAAAATAATCGAATGAAAAATTTTGTTGATTTTACTTATATAAAAAAATATATATTAAATTTAATATTGCATTGCCCTCGAGTTCTAGGGTTGAATAATTTGGAGGCTATGTCTCCTACCCACCCCGGCCATGTAGACACTGATTATATATATTACCAGATGGAATCCTTAACTACGCATATATTTTAAATTTATTGTGGTGTTTATGTTTTAAGTCCATGTTACTTATTTGTAATAAACTGTCATTTCTATTGTATTCTAGGTCTTTAGGCTTTGTCTTCTGAAAATATCCAACCAAACCATTTTAAATTTCTGAACCCTTCAGATTCGAAGCTATATTAAACTTTACATTGATAGTGAAATGTGCATATATTTATCAAGATCTTTAACTGTGGATAACTAAATTTTGAAAAGTTAACATCATCCAGCAAATCTCATTAAGAAATTATTTTTTAATAATATCTAAATCAAAAGTGTTTAATTATTTCTAATCTATTAAATTGTTAAGATTAGGTAATTTTCAATTACATATTTATTTAAATTCTAAGTCTATATTTTTTGAAGTAATCAGATTTTATAATTTTTATACCTATAATTGACCAAGACATGTGAAAAGTCTAATAACTAATTAATGGATTGTTTTAAGTTAAAAATGTGAAATTGATTTTATGATACATTTCTTTTATAAATTATCTCCTTCCATATATTTATACATGATACAAAAAATATGAATAATAAAGTTTTATTTTAAAATATATTTTCAAAAATTCTCAATTTATATGACAAAAAATTAAAAAGCTACAAATATCCTATAATAAAATATAATATTTAATTATAAATAATATGACATTCCGATTCTATTTGTAATGTAAAAATTAATTGTCGAATTATAACATATTGAAAAAAACTAGACAAAAATTTTATGGATGAAAAAGATGTAATCGATATCACCAATCTTTTCCTCACAAATAGAACAACATACATCCACAATATAAATATCGATTCAGTCATATAATTTTATTTTTCCCCAAAAATAATAATTTCAACCTTTATAATTTAACGTTTTTTACGATTTTTAATAAAAATATATGCATAACAATTGAATCTGTTGAATGTGAATATGCAAGTTAATATCTAACATAATTTATCTAAGTAAAAGTGTTCAACTCTATAACAATTCTTTCTGTGAAAACTATTATCGGAATATTATTAAATATGAAGTTTACATTGACACATATTCACAACCAGCCTCATGAATCATAAGAATAGAATTATTTTTTAGTAACTATGAATAAACTTAAAGAACAAATTAGAGCTTACAACTATCAAAACATATAATCAAGTTATGCGTATTAGAAAAATAGATCCTCTGGTTCAACTCCATCCTAATGCTCTACCAACATTTCTATCTGTCAAAACTATTATGAATCGTGTTATTAGATCATTGAGACCACCTTTGCCTCTTATAAATTCTGATATCCGATTATAAATTAATACTTGATAATAAGACTTTTTTTAATTTGTAATGAAAATAATGAATTATTAATATTTTCTACACATGAACTACTTGAAAGTCTCAGTAATGCCGACCAAATTTTGATGGGCGGCACATTTTTTTCGTGTCCTATATTATTTAAGCAAATATACACTATTCATACAATAATTCTTTGCGCGTATATATTATTGCCAAATAAAAATAAAGAATTCTAAAAATAACTATTGTCGATCTATAGGTATTTTCTTTTCTCCTTCTAAATCCATTATAGATTTTTAAATGAGAGTACTTACAAACTCGAATAAATATTTCCAACCTGCTATTTTTATTATGGACAATGTATTTTAAGACGAATACAGGGTAATAGGTTGACAGCATATAGAATTCTTAATCCTGATTTTAAGAGATTTTATCGCAGACTAATAGCGATACATTTCTTTACCGAAATCGACATACCATTGGTATTGTCAGAATTTAATAATGAGAGGCCTTTAATTTAGATCCCATAAGAGATCTCTTTACATACTTTAAAAGTACTTGGATTAACCCAAACGCTAAATTTAAATATAAGATATGGAACATGTACAAATAACCATGTTGAAGAATTTTATCGTTCTCTAAAAGATTATATAACATATTCTCATCCTAATTTATATCTTTTTATTCTATAACATAAGATGTAAGACATGTATGATGTTCAAGGTGTAAGAACAAATAACCATGTTGAAGGATTTCATCGTTCTATAAGTGTATATTACCTATTGTTACTTATCCTAATTTATATATTTTTATTGATATGTTAAAACAAATAAATGGGGAAAAAGTTACCAAGAGAAAAAAAAATACTGCAAAATAGACAAGAAATATTTTTATATTACACTACCTATACACCTTAGTAGTATTTAGAAAATCAAAAAATCAAATATTCTACGAAGATATTTCTGTGAATTAAAATCTTTATTTTCGCATATCTTGGATAAGATATTTAATATCGAAAAAAACAATTTAAATGAAAAATAATCTAGTCAGCAGGTATATCATTATTTTTTTCGATATTAAATATCTTGATATTTTATGTAAATACTGCATTGGTGTATAAGTTGTATAATATAAAAATGTTTCTTGTCTGATTTTCTCGTCTATTATACAGTATTTTTTTTTTCTTTCGGTAACTTTTTTCCCATTACGCAATTGGATAAATTTTATATCCATATCTTGTTGTATTTGTTTTAATATATCAATAAAAAGATATAAATTAGGATGAGAATATGTTATATACTCTTTTAAAGAACGATGAAGTCCCTCAACATGATTATTTGTTCTTACACCTTGAACATCATACATGTTCCACATCTTATATTTAAATTTAGCGTTTGGGTTAATCCAAGTACTTTTAAAGTATGTAAAGAGATCTCTTATGGGATCTAAATTAAAGGCCTCTACTTCATTATTTAATTCTGACAATACCAATGGTATGTCGATTTCGGTTAAGAAGGGTATCGCCATTAGTCTGCGATAAAATCTCTTAAAATCAGGTTAAGACGACTATATGCTGTCAACCTATTACCCTGTATTCATCTTAAAATACATTGACAATAATGAAAGTAGCATCCCTTGACAGAAATGGTTGGAAAAATTTCTTCGAGTGCTGTAAGTGCTCCCATTTCGAAATCTATAAGTGCTTTAGAAGGAGAAAAGGAAATACCTATAGATCGGCAATAGTTTTTTTTAAAAGATTTAACATTTTTTGATACAATTCTTTATTTTTAATTTGCAATAATATATATGCGCAAGGAATTATTGTATGATTAATCATTATATGAATAGTGTATAATTGCTTAAATAATATAGGACACGAAAAAAATGTGCCGTCCATCAAAATTTGGTAGGCATTACAGAGACTTTCAAGTAGTTCATGTGTAGAAAATATTAATAATTCATTATTTTCATTACAAATTAAAAAAATCTTATTATCAAGTGTTAATTTATAATCCCCGTATAATCGGATATCAGAATTTATAAGAGGCAAAGGTGGTCTCAATGATTTAATAACACGATTCATAATAGTTTTGACAGATAGAAATGAGCATTAGAATAGAGTTGAACGAGAGGATCCATTTTTCTAATAAACTTGATTATATGTTTTACGTTTGCTTTGATAGGGGTACGCTCGAATTTTTTCTTTAAGTTTATTCATAGTTACTAAAATTGCATAATGCTCTTCCTCAAATTCAGAAGGATGTTTGTGAATATGTGTCAATGTAAACTGCATATTTATTAATGTACCTCTTGCCGTACAATGACTTAGTCTACATTTAAATAAAATTCCAAATTTATGATGAACATTTTGTTTATTTTTTTATAATTATTCATAATCATATCATGTTATGGGGTGCTGAAAGAAATCTGACTGATATTAATTAACTTTTTTTTACAGAGGATATCTGTTTACAATCAGTTATAAACATTGTAGTTCTTCAACTAATATCTGTATTAATTGTTTTTTTATTAAAACTGTCTTCGATTGTATCCAAGTCCAATCAAATTTGAAATAAGGATGAATTTAAAATAAGCTTTATAAATTGGAAATTCTATAGAACCCGCTTATTCTCGGTTGATTATTTCTTCCATATCTTCATCATCACTTATAATTGTAATCAAATTATTTACCAATGATATCATCCATTGCATAAAATAAAATTTAGCAGATTTGTTTTTGTAATAAAATAAATTTAGACATACTATTCAAATTGATTTCAAATATTATTTTTTTAATATAAAAAGTGAAAATAAAATAATATCAAAATAATCTAAAATTAGATATAGATACCACTAATAATATAGCTAGATAAACTTGTTATAAAACTGTATACAGTACAGATAGGCCATTTTTGTATCTAGATATTTTAACAACTCTGCTACTATTTTATATATGTTGATTATTTGTTTAGGCCAAAATGAGAAGATTAGAGTTTGAAATTAGAAGTAAATCAAGCCTACAATCCCATATTGAATATTTTTCATATACCCAAGAGATTGTAGGTCTGTCTTAGTGCATCCTCAGGAGACTGTGTGGTTCTTAGTGAATATTAGTGTGATGCATGGTATAATGAAGGTAACTTACTTGGCTGTAAAGATAATTGTAACTAGGTTTTACTTTTGTGTCTACTCTACCCAAATCTAAAATTAATAAATACGGTTTTTAAGTTCTTGTTTAGTAATTATATTACAAATAAACAATTTATTTTAAAAATTAATTTTTTAAATTGATTTGAACTATTAAAAGTCTAACAAATATAGACATACCGATTCAGCACATAGCTAAAATTTTTCTCGGACTTCTAAAATAGCGGCTTCGTCTTTAAAAATAATATATATTCTGATTTGAGCAGGCCTTTGATATTGATTTCCTTTATAGTGTTATTTATAGATACTAATAAAGTACGAAAGATTGACATGTTAAAATTTAAGCTTCTAATTCAAAGTTAGTTGATAACACCTCCATCCATTTAGATAAAACCTTACTACGCCATTCCTATATTTTAAACACATCTAACAAGTCACATTCATATAGTGTTGCTAAACAGTTCAATCTCGTCGCTTTTTGAAAACTGCTAACGCAGGATTTTCACCAAAATAAAATTATCCATTTTGAAGATTTTGCTCACGTTTGACGACAGAAAGGTTTGGATACTAATGGTTAAATTTAGATGGTAAGGTAATATTTTGGCCTTTTAATTTAGCCGTTTTAAAAAATCGGCTAATTGAGCAGTTAAGCAACATTACATTTAGCTGTAAACATTGCCCATATTTTAAATAACATTCTTTATTTTGGGGAATAAAATAAACTTATACAATTCATAAAAATTAATTGATTTTTTATAATTAAAAAATATTGGATCTTTATGACATTGGTTCAAAGATAGTAAATAGAAATAAATATAGATGTCGGTATCGGTTATCGGATCGGTTTTATAGTAATATCGGATTTGTGAAAAATTTGTGGATCGTCATGGCCCTTATTTAAATGTAGATGCAAGCTTCAAGTTTAATATGAACATTATATATAATAATTAATAATAACGATTTTATAGAACAATGTACCTATTATTAGTAGATTACAGTCTATTAATAAGGATCCAAAATCACATCATTTGTAAAGTGGGTAAACATTACTATTTAATAATAAAGGTGGCATTCTGAAAAGGTTTAAGTGGAATTGTTAAAGAGCGGTTCACTCCTGGAATATCAAAAAATTTTTCAAAAACCCCTAGAGCGCCTGCTATATTTTAAAAATTGGGAGGAATTTAATTTTTATTGTTAAATGTATATTGCAGAATGAATATAATAAAATTAATATTATATTTAAATAGTTGTTATTTATATTCTTTTTTCAAATCATAGAACATGTAAAACAATAGTGTTTTCATAGGTAGAAAATACTGAATTGGGTGAAATAAAATTTCCATTTCCTACAATAAATATTTTTTCTCCTCTAAACGAGTTGGATCGTAATGAAACAATATTCTTGGGGTTAACAGCTTATTGTAACGAAAGTCTGCAGTAGTGTTGTTAAACGGCTAGTTCTGAGCTGATTTTTATAAACGACTAAATCAATATTTTAGCAAGAAAACAATTGCCCAAGCATCGAGATTTCTCTAATAGATGTCTAAACCTTTGTGCCATCTATGGGCGAAATCTAGAAACTTGCGTAATATTTTTGTGGATAAAATATTGAGTTAGCCGTTTTTAAAAATTGGCTCAAATAGAGCCGTTTAGCAACACAAGTCTGCAGCCTTATCTTTATAGATAATTGTAGAAACTTTCTGTAGGCACTCAGTAAGAAACATCATTTTAAAATTATATATAACTTTCCTTTACTTTGTAAAAAGTTTGAGAATAAAATTCTGTAATGGATTCCTAACTAAGAGAGTAGAAGGTTATGATTTCCTACCACATCATTCAAGATGTGTTTGTCACGAAACTAATTTAGTGGCCGTAGCTGACTTGGAGAAAGTTTTAAAATTATATTCTAAAGTTCAGTTCAAAATTGTCAGTCTTTGCGGAATAAACCAAATGGCAAATTAATTAAAAAATTGAGAAGATATTTGATATATCGAAATACCACAAGATGGAATTCATATTATGAATCCATGGTATTGTTAGATAAAATATTTAGTGAAAAATCGCAAGATCTTGATAATTTATGTGATAACATTAGGCTTATGCACTATAACTCACAGAAATGTAAATTTATCAAAGATAATAAATGTCAATTTATCGAAATAAATAAATTATAGGTTATGGAGTCTTTGGAAACACCATGAAGATCCTTGAAAGTGACCTTCATATAGAAATGGGGGTTTGTTTTTAACTTTCAACTTGTTCTACTCATTTCAAAATTAAATGAACAGATTTAGTTTGCCAACTAATTGAAGATTCCCTTATACTCAGCATTAATAAAAGGTTTATAATTTGATAAAAATAAATGATATATTTCTAAATAACTTTACTGCAAATTCTCAAGTGTTTATAATGATAATATTATTCTACTTTTATTCAACCCATAGGCGCCGACTTAATAGAGGTAGTGGGGCTCTCACCCCCATTGTAAATTTCTACGTGGGCACATATGAATTAATATATCTCATTCTAAGATTGAAATAAAGAGAAAAGAAATATAATAATTATTATATTTTTTCCATGCTCTATGCTCATTCGTCTCTCCTTTCTCATTGATTCTCATCATGTTTCACAATTTATAAATAACTAAGCATTTATTTTATATCCGCATAACAAAAATGATTTATTTTATTTCCGTATAACAAAATGGTTGTATATATATATAAATTACAAAATGTAATTCACGATTACATAAGATTTAATAAGGTGTAGTAACTTTAGGCGACGTGAAAAATTTGTTCGGCAGTCTGATAGACGATCCAACCCTATTTATTTATATATATATAAATTAGATTCAATTATTATAATTTAATAACAGTATTATAAAATGTAAAACAGGAGCTAATTACTTGCAATGTTTTCAATAATTTATAGAATAAATAAAAATTAAAAACAAAAATTGCATAAAATTTTTTTTATCGTTAATTTAAAGATGAATTAAGTTTACTTATTTTTATTAGGAGTATTATCGTCTCTGTTAGCATTGGGGTGGATCAAATTCGCTTCTATATCAGTATATTATTAATAATAATAATAAAATACATAAATAATCTTGAAATATAGTCTGAAGAAATCATTCTTGGTTAAATAATGTTTAATTACTTGAAATGGGTCTAGGAGGCGTTTTTATAATAGGGACTAGGGCGTCTGTGTCAATATACTTGTTCCAAAAAGATGTGGGTAATAAGAGAAGCTGTTCAACAACCTTAATTTTTTTTAATACAAATGATTAGTTCTTTTTACTTACAATTAATATTCATTTATGTTTGAAATATTATTATAACCATTTTCGCATTATAATTAGCTTAAATTTGATTTCATGAACCTCTTCAAAGAGATTATATCATTTTTTTATACCAAAGATTGCTTATGATAATCGTTTAAGACAGAGTATGGCGTGGGTTCGGGTAAACTATAACCAACAATGGATGGGGCAAATATTGTAGCTAGGTTGGATATCGGCATCTTATTTTCATTTACTGCTGCCACTCTATATATATATTAGAAATGTATGAGTGAATATTCAACTAAATATATATAAATCGAGGTTTCATTACATTAATTTTTTTTTAATTGTAAAGAAATATATAACTATAAAAAATTTTGGGCAACTTTTGCAAATGAAGCATAAGGAATGATAGCGTATCTCTATTAGCTAAAGGTAACCTTTCTACCAGCTGATATAAAAGGGTTGTTCCACTAACCGGATCCTTATTTCTTACACCTAAATGTAAAAAATTTATGTTTTTTAAAAGGTTAATTTAAACAAATTATAACCTGCAGCATTAACAAATTCTTGCCAAAATGCTTTAGTAATCAAGGGTTCACTCAAGTTCCTTAAGAAGTCTTTTAAACACCCACATATAACATTTATGTCCTGTAGATTAGACTAAGAAAAATAATGTAAGTTATTACAACAATAAATTAGGTATTACCAAACAAGGAGGCCCCTTTCCTCGGAGAAATTTTTCTTTAAGATCCTTGACTTCCCTCTCCGAACTAGAGTAGCAATACATTTGCAAAACAATGTGTACATAAATTAATTAAATATTATAAGATATTAAAAATTCAGAAAATTCAACATATCTATTTTGTTAAGTTTTCAAAAAATTATGGTATATTTTACAAGTTTATCGAAAAAAATAATATTTAAAATGATCCTTACCCTGGGACCCTGTACAATCCCACCTCCTTCATACCACGACACTCAATCGCATATATACAATGTATAACTATTGCAGGAATATAGGGAGGATTTCCGGGAATGTATTCTGTTAAATGGTGCTGTCCCTGTATTTATATTTATTTTATAACAAATATATCGTAGTGTTCTACTCGCAAAGAAAGAAATCTCTTCTCTTCTAATATATTAGTATAATTGAGATATTTTAAGGTGATTTTAAATTTGCTTTAACTGCATTAGATTCAAATATTTTTGTAACCTTTGCAAAATAGATTTTCTCATTATTAATAATTAAAAAAAAAGAAATTAAAGCAGTCAATTAAAATTTTTTTTAACATATTGCCAGATCTAAAAAAACCAGTGACGTCACTAGGGAGACGCAAAAGGGTTCAAGCCCCCCCCCCCCCCCCGAGACTGTAAAGCTAGTGACGTCACTGAAGGAGACTTATAAATTTAATATATAATATAATTGGAATAAAATCTGCCAGATGGGTTAATAATAAATCATTTTCGGAGATTAAATGTGCGATGTGTGACCTGTTTGCCTTTAGGTGTATTGGACACTGGTATGCAAGGTACGGGCACTTGGATGTGACATTCGGCATGACAAACCGCTTTGCAGTCCTTGCATTTCATAACGCGTGTGCCAAACTTTATTCTTTTACCACACGGTGTGCACACACCTTGAGCATAGTGGGATTTGAAGGAAAAGATATGGGGACGGGACTTCACAAGTTTGCCTGATATATATATTTATTTTAAAGTTATTTGCCAGTTAAAATAATTGTATTGTTCTTTTTTTTTACTAAATCTTTAATATTGGTTATGATTGCCACCTTTCTTTGTTTTTATATGAATAATCCAAAATTCTTAAAAAGTGGCCAAAAAAGTGGGATCAACATCTTAAAAGTCATATCATCTTAGGTTTATAGAGCAAGAGAAGAGTTTAAAAAAAAGTTTAAGAAATGTGTAAAGAGTAGAAAAAAGAAAATTCTATTAAAAAAATACAGTAGGTTGATTTCTAATAAAATCTCTATATAGTATAAGAAGTGTAAATAAATAGTTAGTCTCATCTTGGTCAATGGTTCAGTGTCTAAAATACATTATAAAATTGGCGAAATATTTTATACAACATCATGTCCAAAAAAATACACATATTATTTGTTTGTTCTAATATTCTTTACTAGAAATAGTAACATTAATTAAATCCCGAAATTATTGGAAAATGGGAAAACAAAACTTCAAATCAAATTTGTATTATTAAAAAGAAAAAATTGCAAATATAGGTGTACCAATATGACTGAGGCCAATCCAATATCATATGTAATTTTGTATTCTGTAAAGATAACAGTGGTTATAATTTTTAATACCATAACATAATGCCATTTAAATATATTATAATGATGAGTTATATAGTATTATCTCAATTCAATTGCAATTCTAAAGGTATATAAAATATTTTTATTGATAAATCACTCATTTATATAATAAGTAAGAATTTTTACAATATCAGATCCTAATTTAGGGTTCATGCAAATCATATAAGTATATAAAAATTGTATTTATATCTAGATCCATTTAAAAAGTATATTTTAACAACTCTGCAAAATACACACAATTTCATACAAATTTTTTTTTTTAAAAAAATGAAAGGGTTCACTTTTGATAATCGATTTATAATTTTCTGATTAAATGAATATTAAATTCAACAATATCTATTTTGTTATTTCAAAAAATTATCGCATCTTTACAAGTTTATTGAAGAAAAAAAATATATTTAAAATCATCTTTACCCTGGCACTCTGTATAAACCCACCTCATACCTCAACATTCAATCGCATATATACAATGTATAACTATTAGGAATATGGGAAGGATTTCCAGGTATGTATTCTGTTAAATGGTATTGTCCATGTATTTGTATATTTTTTCAAACAATTGTAGTGTTCTATTCAAAAGATCTCTTCGAGTATATTAGTATAATTGAGATATTTAAAGGTAATTTTAAATTTGCTTTAACCCTCACATGATATAGATTTTCTCATTATTAATCATTTTAAAAAAAGAATTAAAGCAGTCCAATAATTATTTGGCAATTAGAAAAACTTAACATATTGCCAATGTAAAAAAACCATATCCTATTGAATGTAAAGGCAGATACAATTTAAAAAATTTAACTGGATGTAAATACAATTTTTAGAATGTAACTTGCTACAAATACAATTTTAAAAATGTATTTAGATACACATACAATTTTTTTATTGTACATATAAGGTTTGCATAAACCTAAATTAGGATTCTTTTGCAAAAATTCATGAAATGAGATTACTTATTATGTAAATACATTAATGTTATTACTAATTATATAAATAAGTGATATATCAAATAAAAATATTTCATATACTTTTGGAACTGAGAATGTAAACTTAAACTGATCATTATAATATATATGAATAACATTATGTTATGGCATAGCTAAATTATAGATGTTATTTAAAAAAAAATATCGGTACATTCCTAATTGCAACAAAAAAATACTATCTTTTAAACAAAATGGTGAAAACATTTTTAAAGTGACCATTTGTAATCACCATATTGTATTAATATCATTATCATATCATTTTTGGATGATAACTGTGTTTAAATATAAGTTTTTTTCTATTTTCGGGGTTCTGAGAACTACCTGGGTTCAGGACATTTTTCGGAACCCATAAAACAATCAAACTATTTTGTCCAGTTTTTGTATTAAAAAGTACACTAAAATCTGGGCTGGTATAAGAGAAAGAGTTTTTTCAAAACATTTGCCAGGGTCAATTATCAAAAAAAAATCTAAGCATAATAAAATTTAGTCTAAACTTCGATCAAAATTAGTGGACTAAATCACCAATATATATATTTTTTTTAAATTTTATCAATTTACAGGAAACTATGGCCTCATTTTAATTTTTTGATATTATAACAAATTCTGTAATTTTTTTATACAATTTATTAATAAAAACCAAAGCTGGGTATATAAGCGTATGCCACATTTAGGGAAGTCGACTAAATTTTGAGTGGGCGAAAATGTTCATTTAAATTAACAATGGAAATATATTTTTTAAAATTAGCGATTATTATATTACTCTTTAAATTAAATATGTTGTGATTCAAATTTCATCGTGTATACATGATAACTAGTCAAGATCGATGGACCTGTCCTAACGGTCTCAGATCAAAGTCCGGACCCGGTCTGTTATTAATATATAAATAATTCGTATTACTTTTTTATTAAATTATTCTGTATATTATAATGTTATCTTATATTATTTTTTCTAGAGGAGTTACTTTAGTTTTCCCTTTTCTGGCTTATGCTTAATTATTTGAAAAAGGATTTTTATGTATAGAAATAGTTAAAATTGGCTGCTCTCATCTAAAATAAATTGGAAACAGATATTCAAATAGCAGAGCTAAGATCTTTTTAGATGAAATATGAGCCGAAGAATTTGCCATTTGTATATAGCAAAAACTAGATGGGGGAAATGTAGTGGAAATAGTGGAACAAAGGTTTTAACATATATAAATCAAAATCTAGAGGCTTAAGCAATATTTTTCTGGCTAAAATATTGAAGCTGCTTAACAACACTAATAAAAGGTGAAGACAACAAAAAAATTCGAAAAACCAACTCCTTGCATTGCTTAATTTTTTTTTGTTCTTATTAAAGATCTTTAGAGATTTTATATTATTACTCTAAATAGTTTTTGAGATAAACAAAATTTAAAAATTTTACAGATTCAAGTCACTATTTTTCACATCTTTGAAGCATTGAATCCTTTTTTTAACCTATCTAAATAATTCCATAAATTTATAAGAATTTTAAAATAGGTCATCTAAATCATTATCGTTTTCACATGGAATGGTCCCTTAGTGCCATCTATCAGACTCTAATATTTTTTTTTGGATAAGATATTGAGTTAACCATCTTTTAAAATCAGCTCAAACTAAGCTGTTTAACAATAATGACAGTCAGTGAGTGATGAGGAATATCCACAGTGAATAGTGAAATCTGAACTAGTTGACAAACTGGTTTATATACATTTCATTCAAAGGAATATTCATGAATGCTTGATTGTAGTTGTATTTCAAAATTTATTGTATTTTAAAATTTTATTTAAATGATCCTCATTATATAAAAAATTTGCAAATGGGATTTCCCATTCCTAGATGATTATGCAGAATAGAATATGGATTAGGTAATAAATAAAAATATACAATATATAAATAATTGGTAAATGATTAAATTAAGTAACATCAATAATAATTTATGTTATACTAAGGTTAATTTATTAAAAGCTAAATATTTTGTTGGGGGGGGGGCAAAATCTTGTGTTCCATGAGCATGGCTAGTCTTGGATGTACTGGATTCTAAAATTTTTATTTACCTGTCCATGCAAAAATTTAATTAGTTTAATTCTATTCAATAAAAAATAAATTTAACATATCTAGGTATATCTTCAAAAATAATATAATTACTCAACAGTAGTGTTGTTAAACGACTCGATTTAAGTTTATTTTAAATGGCCAACACAATATTTTAGCCAGAAAAATATTGTCTGAGCTTCAAGATTTTGTTAATAGATGTTCAAACCTTTGTGCCACCTATGAGCAAAATCTTAGGGCTTCCATAATATTTTTCCTAATAAAGTATTAAGTTAGCCATTTTTTAAAATTCGGTTCAAAATGAGCCGTTTAACAACACTGCTCAACAGTATAAATATTTAAAGGTTACATTTTTTTGTGTTGTAAGAAAAATATAATCTGTTTATAAATTTTTGAGATAATCAAGTAAAGTTGGAACAAATCCATATTTGGAAGATCTGGCCCAGTTTTGGTAAAAACAATCCTAGATCCAGTATCTTCAATCTTAAGTATTAGAAAAGTTACCGGCAGAATTCCAGGTTGAAAGAGAAGGTGTATGTATTGTATTACTCCTATTTCTAACTCCATATGTGGGAAATTCTCTAGCTTTATCACTAAAAACATGCATTGCTTTATCGCCATTAATGTTTGGAGTATGATTATATTCGTTCTCATCATAATCTGGAACTATAGTAAATAAAATTAATAAATTTCAAAATAAAAACTTAGGTTTGTTAATGATGGTTCACTGTGACTTCTATTTAAAAAACTTTTTCTGCCAGATTTTTCATAATCATCTGCAGTTTCAATGGGAGGATATAGGGTCTAATAAAAAATATATAATTGAGATATAATTAATTTTTACATTTTTTGGCTTTTTATTTTGAAAAGCAAGTAATTCCTCATCAGATAGCCTTTTATTACTTGTTGAACTAACAGTATTAGTTTTCAAACATTTTGCCCTTTCTTGCTCTGGTGTTTTCATAAACTTTATTTCAGGTGCATTTTGTAATTGTTGATAATATTTATTATTTTCAAAATTTTCAACAGCAGCCATATCAATGGAGTCATCAGTTTCATCATATTTAAATGGAGCTAATAAAGATGCTGATCTTCTATCATGTCTACAAGAATTCTTAATTTATAAAAAATTTTTATCAAATACCTTTTAGGTTTAGTTGGAGAATGATTCATTAAAGCACTAGGTATATCCAAAAATGAAAGCTTAGCCTTTTGTGCTTCATTTAATACTGAAACCTTAGTATCAAATAACACTTCTTTAATCATGGTCATTTGATTTTCCTTTTAATATTTAATGAAATATTAGTACCATGATTAAATAATTGTACCAAAAGTTTATTATTCTTCTCTAAATGTGAATGTTTATCCAAAATATCTTCTAGCATTTGACGTGCATTTGTCAAACGCGATGATAAGGATGAATTTTCACTAGCAAGCATATTAGCTTTTAATTCAATTTGCCGGTAGTTTTCTTCATACATGTTACATCTTTTAATTTCATCACTCAACTTATCAACCAATTGGAGAGAATCTTAAAATATATATTTATTTATTAGTTATAAAAAATTTACATGTTATATATTCTGTGGGATCCAAGGCTTCAACTTGCCATTTCAATAAACGCACTTTTTCTTTCATTCTTTTTTTTTGAATTTTTACCAATCAAAACCAAATAATTTTATTTTTCTAATAAATTTAAAAATATTTAATATGTATATAATATTATATTTAAGCTTTTTATAAGTAAATGAGTACTACCTTACTTTTATAAGTTAGTACAATAATTATTTTCAAAATAACGATAGTGATAACCTTGATACTTTTCTATTAAATTAAATAATATTAACTCTTATATTCTTTCTTATCTAACATTTACTTGATAAATATTTTGATTATATAATCATCCATATACATGAATATATCTTAAAAAATATCTTTAACACTAAAAATAGAAACTAGAAAATATAATAGGAAGTTTTTTTAAATATTAAAAAAACCGCCAATCATTGATAACTTAACTAGTGTAATTTAATTGGTTAGTTGTGTAAAACCTAGACCCGAGCAGTGGCGTCGATAGGGGAGGAGCGCGCAGGGGCTCGAGCCCCCTGAAGCAAAATTTTTTTTTTTAATGGCTTCTTAATATTCCCTTGAACTAAAATAAATTTTTTTGATTGCCTAGTGAATGATTTCTTTTATAATCCAATTAAGTAATATATATAGATATAATTTTATTATTTAGAAATTAATAAAACTATTTAAATTTTTATTAAATGAATATTATTTTAATTATTAGATTAGATTAATATATATAATTTTCACATGTCATCTTGCATTCAAATTCTGTATTTAAAATATAATATCAATAACTCACTAAATATTAATTTAGCTTTACCAGTTGAAGTTTTATTGACTTTTATTATTTAAATTATTATTTAAGCCTAATTAAATAAATATTATTTGAAAATTAAGAAATTTAATATTGTAATTAGCCGAGTTCAAAATGACTAATCAACTGTATATTTATTTTTAAATTTTATTATCATACCTTAAAAATATTTTCAAGGTCCAAATAAGTATAAGATATTTCTTTGTAAAAAGTAAGTAGAGATATAGTTTATAATCCTACTATATACAGTTGTTTATAATATTAGATATAATACCACTATTATAGACTATTTGACAGTTATATAATATATTACAGTTAATTTTATAATAAATTTTACTAATAAATGGTTTTGATAATAAATATAATATCAAATTGCATTCAAGTATTTAATGCCATCTATTTAGTTATAAATAATTTTAAAATTAAACATTTTAATATTCATCCTGCAAGAGATGTAATAAATTTGATAACTTTTCTTCTCTTTTTTACGTGTTTTTATAAAAGCTATTTTTTTCTTCTTCGAAAAACAGTTTTGAGTTAAATTTTTAATACAAATATATTTTTGATATTATTACAAACTAATATTATTTTAAGAAATATAAATAAAATATAAAATCTTAATTGCATTCATCATATCACTCTCTTTATTAAGTTACAAAATGTTTCATTTCTAATATGGCTTCCTTGCCCTGTAAATAACTCAAGGCTTCAATATGTTTGCTTAATTTCTTCTAAAGATTTTTAGTGTTGTTTTATCAATTTATCTAACATGGTAAATATTGATATGAGTTAACATCGTGAGTGTCATGATGACTCTGACTGAATATTATCCAGGATCTATTATTTGTGTGGCTTTGTAATTTAGATTATTTACAGCTGCTGAGAGCATATGAGTAGTGTTGTTTAACGGCTAAGCCGAGTCGACTTAGCTGCGACTCGAGCCTAGTTTCTAGTCGATAAAACTACTAGTCGGCTCACTTAGTCGGCTCGCGTAGTCGGCTCACTTAGTCGGTTCGCTTAGTCGGCTCACTTAGTCTCTTAGTCGGCTCGTGTAGTCGGCTCGCTTAGTCGGCTCGTGTATTCGACTCGTTGGGTCTGCTCAATTTTTTTGTTTTTTTTATAAAATCTGGTAAATTGCTAAATTTTGGGAAAATGATTAATGTGAACAAAATTATAATAAGAATATGTTGTTTTAGTTTTTCGTATTTTTTTGGCATAAATGGGTTAAAATAAATATTGCTAAGGCTAACATGTTTAAATAAAATTTTAGTGAAGATGTACCATAGATAAGTCACAATTGTCATAATCGTTGTTTTTAAAGTTTTTCGAATTTTTTTGACGTAAATGGGCTAAAATAAGCATTGCTAACATGTTTAAATAAAATGTTAGTGAAGATGTACCATAGATAAGTGACAATTGTTATAATCGATGTTTTAAAGTTTTTCGAATTTTTTGACGTAAATGAGCTAAAATAAGCATTGCTAACATTTTTAAGTAAAATTTTAGTAAAGATGTACAGTAAAAAAGTGACAATTGTCATAATCGTTGTTTTTAAAGTTTTTAGAATTTTTTTGAGGTAAATGGGCTAAAATAAGCATTGCTAGCATGTTTAAACAAAATTTAGATACAGGGTTTCCCATTCAAAATAATAAAATCATAATATTTTTTTTTTTGTCAATTTTTCTTAAACTTTTATTTATTTTATTTATTCCTTTTTAATTTATTTCTAAATTTTTCCGATTTCTTTACGTTTTTTTTCTTATTGTATCTTTTCTCAATTTATTTCTAAACTTTTGCGATTTTCTTTACTTTTATTTTTCTTACTATATCTTCTCGGAATTTATTTTTTTTCAATTTATAAATTTAGGTCCATTTTTTTAACAATATACGTTTTTTTTCATATACAGATATAATATTCTTTTTATGATTTATACAATTTCTTGTTGAGACCGTGATGATTGCACAACTGAATATAAATAACTCGAATTAAAATCCATGGAAATATACTTATAAAAAATTAATTTTATTTAGTCTGTCTTCCCTTTTGTATTAAATAATAAAAATTATCTACTGCGTTATAAAAATAAGAATTTAAAAATTATTATTTTTTTATTAATTTAAATATCGTTTGGTATTGCAGTTAAGGTAAACCAAACGATTAATATATAATTTAGCAATTGTAATTATAATGTCTGTCAAAAACTATAAATAAAATTTTAAAAAATAATTATCAAAAATGAGAAGAAAAAAAAATAGATAAATGCTCAAAAAAATAAAGATTAAAAATGACCAGATTAAAAATGTATGCAAAAGATTAAAATGTATATATCATAAAAAGAATATTATATCTGTATGTATGATGAAAAAAACGTAAATTGTTAAAAAAAATGGACCTAAATTTATAAATTGAGAGAAGATATAGCAAGAAAAATAAAAGTAAAGAAAATCGCAAAAGGTTAGAAATAAATTGAGAAAAGATACAGTAAGAAAAAAAACGTAAAGAAATCGCAAAAATTTAGAAATAAATTTAAAAAATAACTAAAATAAATAAAAGTTTTAGAAAAATTGACAAAAAATTAAAAAAATATTATGATTTTCTTATTTAGAATGGGAAACCCTGTATCTAGGGTACATCTTCACTAAAATTTTATTTAAACATGTTAGCAATGCTTATTTTAGCCCATTTACGTCAAAACGAAATACTTTAAAAACAACGATTATGACAATTGTCACTTATCTAGGGTACATCTTCACTAAAATTTTAGTTAAACATGTTAGCAATGCTTATATTTTAGCCCATTTACGTCAAAAAAAATCGAAAAACTTTAAAAACAACGATTATGACAATTGTCACTTATATGGTACATCTTCACTAAAATTTTATTTAAACATGTTAGCAATACTTATTTTAACCCATTTATGCCAAAAAAATACCAAAAACTAAAACAACATATTCTTATTATAATTTTGTTCACATTAATCATTTTCCCAAAATTTAGCAATTTACCAGATTTTATAAAAAAAACAAAAAAATTGAGCAGACCCAACGAGTCGAATACACGAGCCGACTAAGTGAGCCGACTAAGCGAGCCGACTAAGCGAGCTGACTAAGCGAGCCGACTATATGAGTCGACTGAGTGATCGGCTCATTCGGCTCCTTAATCGGCTTAAGTCGGAGCCGTTTTTACGACTACGACTCGAGTCGCAAGTCGTAAGAACTCGACTTTTTAACAACATTACATATGAGTGCATATTTTAGAT